CCCCCGACATCAATGTTGATCTCAGTACAGGCGGTGCTTTGGGGTTCGAATATGGCTGTCCACTCACGTCTCCCCCGTCGCCACGCCATCAGTATTGATTTCGGGGGGTCTGGGGGGGCATCTTGGGCCACAGGGTTCGAATCTAATGTCCATGCACGGTCCCATCGTACTTAAGGACCATATCCCAGAAATACTTTCAAGCACCCGGAAGAATGTCGAAAGAGTGTGGAAACAGTGTCGAAAGAGTGTCGGGCGAGTGTCTCCAAGGGCCCTACACGTGAAAACCTTCGAGTTGTTGGGTACTTTTCTAATGCTTGAAGTTCTTTCTGGTGGTCAGGCAAGCGGAGGAGCATGCAGTGGATCGAGAGCTGGAGAAGCAGTCAAACTGAAGTCTTGCAACAGCCTGCGCAGACCCAGGAGCGAATCGTATGCGCCTGCGCGGACCTGCCGAATGAGGAAAGGCGGGGAAGAAGGACGAGGGAGATGAGGGAGAGGAGGAGGAGGAGGAGGAGGAGGAGGAGGAGGAGGAGGAGGAGGAGGAGGAGGAGGAGAAGGAGCAGGAGCAGGAGGAGGAAGAGGAGGAGGAGGAGGAGGATGAGGAGGATCACATGGAGTAGGACGAGGAGGAGAAGGAGGTTGGGGAGGGGGAGGAGGGAGGAGGGATGGGGAAGAAATAGGCGAATGAAGAGAAGGAGGAATAGGAGCTGGAGGAGGACAATTGCCAGCTTGGGGGCTTCTTGGGGCGTCTTTGGGGCCTCTTGGCGGTCCCGGGGGCCTCTTGCGTACCTCGGGGAGCCTTTTGGGGCCTCTTGGGGGTCTCTTTTGGGAGCCTCTTGGAGGCCTCTTGGGCGCCTCTTGGGGCCTCCTATACGCCTCATTGGGCCCTCTTGGGGCGTTCTTGGGAGGCTTGGGGGCACTTTTGGAGCCATCTTGGAGGTCATCGAACAAAGAAGGGAGGAGCTTACAACATCCTTGCCCCTTTCGAGTTCCTAGAATCGTCTCTTGGGCCCCTCTTGGGGCGCTCTTGGGCGCTGTTGGGGCCGTCTTGGGGCTCTCTCAGGCATCTCTTGGGGCTCTCTGAAGCTCTCTTGGAGCTGTCTTGATTGAGGACTCGGAAGGCCATCGAAAGCAAAAAAGGCGAGAAGGTACAATTCATTAATGTTCCTTAGGGCTTTGAAGGGTTTTGGCCTCTTGGCGGCCTCTGTGAGACGTTCCGTGGTCACTTGGAACCGTATTGGAACGGTCTCTGGGCTTCTTGGAGCATCTTGGGAGCCATCTTGAGGCATCTTGTGCTATATTGTGCCATCTTGGAGGTCATCTTGGGCTCTCTGAGGCCCTCGTGGAGCCGTCTTGGGCCGTCTTAGATGCTCTGACCGCTCGCGGGGCTTTCCGTCCAGGTCCAGGAGAGGAGGCAGGGGGAGGGGTCAAGCTACCCACCCGCCCGCAAGCCGTCTTGCTCACTCCTACCCGCGCTCCCAAAACATAAGTAACACCTGGGCGTCAGCATATCGCGTAAGAACGCCGCAGAAGCCACGGGTTCCAGATGCACCAGACACCCTGGAGGCCCAAGTGTGCCAGGCGCGCCAGGTGCGGCACGTGCGCCCAGAGTTCCACGTGCTCCAGCCGCGCCAGGTGCGCCAGCCACTGGGAACCACTAGGGGCTCCACATGAATGCGCCGCAACTGTTGCTACACCAGCAATTGCTCACGCCCCAGCGCATGCTTGTGGCTGTTGGCCAGCGCGCGCGTGGGGCGTTCTTGGGGCCGGTTAGGAAGCCTCTTGGGCCCGGCTTGGAGCTTTCCTGGCCAATGTTGGAGCCATTCGGAGGATTCGAAAGCCCAGCGGAAACGAGAAGGCGATAACAGGAGCCACTGGTTTGTGGAAGCAGTCGGTCGACCACTTGCGTCCAGAAGGCAGGTGGGATCTGCTGACACCCTGGCCGTCCTTGTAAAATCCGCCGATCCGGCGTGTGAACTACAAGGAGCCTCAGCAAGAGCTTCAGCTCTGAGCCTAAGCAAGAGCTGCAGCTCTGCTTGGGGGGGGGGTCGCCGGGGTGTCTCCGCCGGAGAAGGGGGGGAGGAGGGGGGGTCCTCCATCTGGCGTTTCCTTAATGATTTGCGCATCCCCACGGTGTTTCGGGGGTCCCAGGCACCCCCCTCAGATGTAGCCGCTACCGCCCCCAGGAATCTCCCCTCGGAACCCTCCCTGGACCCTCCCTGGGGAAGGGGGGGAGGGAGGGGAGGTGGTCCCCCTTCTAGCTGGCGTTTTCGTAATGATTTGCGCATGTCGAGGAGGGAGGAGGCCACCGAGCCGCGAAGATCACCGAATCTGGAGCTCCCCGGATCGGCGGCACTGGCCAGAGGCCATTACAATACAAAAAGCATGCTCCAAATGTGAAGGCAGAGTCTATTTTGAATTGTCTCTTTGCAGGGATGGTAGGGGTGTGTGATCATGGGGTCGGCATTTTTCCCGATTGGCTGCCGGCCGGGTGGGGCAGGGGGTGTATATGAATAGGGAAGAGTGATTTCTCCCCGAAGGGGATGAGGGGGGGTGAGAAAGGAGCCTCCCTAGACCACCTACGCCCAGAGGGCTGGTGGGATTGACAGTGTTCGTCTTGTTTTGGCGACGATGCGATGCTGTCCGTGTGTCGTTCTCTCGTGCTGCTAGGTCGCTTCGAGACTGTGTGGGATGACCCATCCCTGTCACGGAATCTTGTGAGGCCATGGGTGCAATTGATTGCAGGAAACCGTTGATTTCCTCGTAACTGGGGATCTCGGTGGCCAAGGCCCTATCGATCCACGTTGTCGAGGCGCTGGTGTGCTTGAGCCGCTGCCTGTCACGCGTAGAAATTATTGAGTCGCCTCCTCGGCTCGCTTTTTGTGCATGGCTGTCCATTTTCTCCAAATCGCTGCGTTCTGCTGGTATACCTGGACCTCGTGTTGGTGGGTTTCTTTCGTTTCTGCCGTATACCGATCACCGTTCGTTGCAGTACAAGCTCTAGCTGACCTTCTGTATTGACCGCGTGCTGTTGAGCCTGCTCTTTGTAGCTGGTCATGTCTATGCGTACCCTGTTGGATCTGGTGTTTACGCTGCTTGGCTTCTCCAGCATCTCTGCCTCGTACGATCCTTTCGATGCTGGTGCCCCTCTGTTGGTACCCTTCCTGGACGCTCTGGATGGCGGCCTCCATGCGCTTCTCCTGGTCCTGCATCTCGAGGTGGGCGCTGCGGAGCAGGTGGTCGGAATCACTCCAAGTGGGTTGCGCAGTTGGACCTGCCCGCTGAAGTCGTCGGTTCTCTGCGCCTCGATTGCGGAGATGCGGCGTTCTGTGTCTCATATCGTATCGTCTTGCATCTCCCTTTCTAAGTATGGCTGTCTCTTCCATGAGCCGTCGCTGGCCTTGGTACAGCCAAGATTTATAGTTACGGACGCACGGATGTCCTTGAGGTACCTTTTGCGTCCTTGCCTCTGCGGCCCGTCCCTCGCGGTCGTCACTGGCCAGGCTTTCAGGGTGCTGGCAGTCCGCCGCCCAAACGTACCGATTTCGGCGTCCTCACCGCCCGTCCTTACTATGGACTTCGACTTTGGGTATTGAGGTCGTTGTCGTATTCAGCGAGTCAATGTTGCGCCTGTCTCAGCTCATTATGTATGACAGCAGAGTGTTTGTCTCCAGGGATGTCGTCCTTCCCGCTGCCGTTGGTGTTCCTCATGGTGGCTTCGAGCTCCTCCTCCGTCCTACGTAGTTTGTGTCGCCACCGCTTGGGTCTGAATGTGCTCGTGGTGGGTCGCCATCTTCTCGGTTGTGATCTTGGCATTCGTCAGCTCCTCTTTAAGCTTGTTATGTTAGTGCTGTGGTTGCTGTGCTGCATACTGTTGCGTATTTGTTCGACCTGTACGGTTCCCTCAATTGCTCGATGGTGTCGCTGTAGCTCCTGCAGGTTCGTCGTGGATTTCTTCCTCGCATTATCGTTATCCTCATTGCTGTGGTATAGGCTGTCGAACTCCCCTTGGCCTGGCGTTTGCGTTTCTCTACGTCTCGAGCGAGACGTTGGATCTTCTCCATCAGGGCTTTGGGTGGCGCTCAACTGTCTTGCCCATGGCTTGGCTCTCCGGCCATGGTTTGCCTTCTTCTTGCTGGTGTGGCGTTCCTCTTCTGGGCACCGTCTCTTTGTGGGACGTCTGCCTCGTCGTCTGCTGCACCAACCTCGTTTTATGCTTCGTCCCGCGCGAAGCTGGTGTCTCTGTGGATGATGTGAAGCTCGTTTATATTTGCTTCTAGTGCGACCAAGGAATGACTTGACTTCTCTGCGTTGCGCCTTGGTGTGCTCGCAGAGGTCCTCCATGGTCTGCTTGTTGCGGTCGGTCTCCCTGGCTTGTTGGTGAAGTGGTATGTTGTTGATGATCATCGCTTTGATGACTGCGAGCTGTGCTCCTGCGTCTTTACTCGGTAGGTCAGCGGCGTTGGCCGTCATGATCGCGGCTGTGACTCCTCGTTGTTCAGCTGTCTTGACTTTCTGCCACTCCTCTTTGAGTTTTGGGTTGTTACGTGATGCCTCCCAATCGTGCCTTCTGGGGGCGCAAACTCTACGCTTTTGCATGACGTTGTTGATGATGATGTCGAGGTGGTCGTTGAAGTCCTGGTTGAACTCCCTCTGCTTATTCTTGGCTGCGGTGTCTTCCTCGTGTGTGGGTGGATGTTAGCCCTGGCCCTTTTTCTCCTTGTTCTTGCCCTTTGCGGCTGGTTGGCTTCGATGTAGTCGTCGTACGGTTTGGGGAAGCTGACCTTGCTTCTGCCGTTGGTGCCCTTGGTGTTCTTGCCGGCGCCCTTGTTCCAGTAGGTGCCAGGGTGTTGGGTTGCCCATTGTGCGGCCCATTTGTCTTGTCTCTACTGGTGGTGGTCACCGTCTTGGCGTGCGGCTCGAGGTTAATCTCCATGGCGGTGATGTGTTCAATGGCCATCCTGCGGTTGATTCCGATGGTGCCGCCGCCATTGTGTCGGAGGCCTAGAGGTTGACACCAACACCAATGTCGGCGGTGTGCCTCCACCGAGGGAAGATCCTGATCTCGGTAATTGTGGTAATGTTCGGGCTTCCTTGATGGCCGAAAGATTACCACCAACGCCAACATCTAGGATCATCTTCCTCCGTGGAGGCAACCCCTGGTGTTGGTGTTGGTGCCCATTTTCCAGCTTCCAAGTGTGGGAGTTTGTTGTGGATGTCGCGGTGGTTTGTGCGTTTTGTGATGTGCTCGAAGTAGTTGTCGTACGGCTGCAACTCTGATCGGCGCGCTTCCTGCCGCTCGTGCTCGACGTTCGCGTCGGGGCGACGTTGACTCCCAGGAGGGAGTCGTGGTGGTCGCGGTGGTGCTGCGTACCAATGTGGAGGAATGGTCAACCCGTTCCGTAAGGATGCGCGATAAGAATGCAAGGGCCTTGGAAGGCAAGGTCGAAGCTTTTCGAGCGGGGCGCGGCCAACGAAAGTGGCCAATGATGGGCCGCGGAGGCGAGGATGCAAGGGTACCCTTGGGAGGGGTGCCCATCCTTACTATGCGGGTTGGCTGTCGTGTTAATTTGACACCCGGGCGATGTGAGAAAGGATGCGTTCTGGTACAGGCACGTTTTGTGTTTTGTTTCTGTTTTGTTCTGCCTTCTGTTTCTGGGAGGGGGGGGTGCACGATTCGTCCGCCTTCCTCTGTGCAGAGACCCAGCAATAGGAACCAGCAAGCATCCAGTACAGGGGGATTGTTGATAGTCATTTGCATGTGTAGCTACTCGCTTATCGCACAGCATTGCAGTCAATAGCTGTCCTGAAGAGGCCCCGGAGGCCGAACGCTGGACAGAGCCACTGAAAAAAGGCACGGGCCTGAGAGCGCCATACGAGTCAGGCATTGGATGTGGAACTAAGACGTTCTGGCACGTTCTGGCACAGGTGCGCCGGGCGCCCTCCTGACGCGGCGTCTCCTCCTCCTCCTCCTCCTCCTCCTCCTCCTCCTCCTCCTCCTCCTCCTCCTCCTCCTCCTCCTCCTCCCTCCTCCCTCCTCCTCCTCCTCCCTCCTTCTCCTCCTCCTCCTCCTCCTCCTCCTCCTCCTCTCCTCCTCCTCCTCCTCCTCCTCTCCTCCTCCTCCTCCTCCTCCTCCTCCTCCTCCCTCCTCCTCCTCCTCCTCCTCCTCCTCCTCCTCCTCCTCCTCTCCTCCTCCTCTCTCCTCCTCCTCCTCCTCCTCCTCCTCCTCCCTCCTCCTCCTCCTCCTCCTCCTCCTCCTCCTCCTCCTCCTCCTCCTCCTCCTCCTCCTCCTCCTCCCTCCCTCCTCCTTCTCCTCCTCCTCCTCCTCCCCCACCTCCTTCTCCTCCTCTCCTCCCTCCTTCTCCTCCTCCTCCTCTCCTCCTCCTCCTCCTCCTCCTCCTCCTCCTCCTCCTCCTCCTCCTCCTCCTCCTCCTCCTCCTCCTCTCCTCTCCTCCTCCTCCTCCTCCCTCCTCTCTCCCTCCTCCTCCTCCTCCTCCTCCTCCTCCTCCTTCTCCTCTTCTTGCTCCTCCATCTTGCTCTCCATCTCCTCCTCCTTCTCCTCCTCCTCCTCCTCCTCCTCCTCTCCCTCCCTCCTCCTCCTCCTCCTCCTCCTCCTCCTCCCCTCTTCTCTGGAGTTTGAGGCGCCTCCTCCTCCTCCTCTTCTTTTTCCTCCTCCTCCTCCTCCTGCTTCTCTCCTTCTCTGGAGTTTGAGGCCTGGGCGGGTCCTGCGCTGCCTGTCCTATGCCGAGCACCCTATTTTCTTGTGTGTCTCTTGATGGTTCCACGGGCGCGGTGGCTGCCTGGCCACCATCTCCAGGCCTCTCAGGCGGGGTCGGAGCAGATGGGGTCGGAGGATCGCTCCGCATCGCCGGAGCATCGGCGATGCGGCTCGATGTGAATTCCGTTTTGCTTCACGTCGACGTCGCCGATGCATCGCCGTTGTCGATGATGCATCGCCGATGCATCCCCGATGCATCGCCGAAGCATCAACGACGCGGCGCGATCCTTTGACCCAATCTACTCCGACCCCATCTACGAGGCCTCTATCTCAGGAGATGTGTTATTGTACTCCCGGGATCTCCCCGAGCGCCTTGTCACGAGAACTGCTTTGATGGCATGGTGCTGCATGGTGCATTGATGGAGTACGGTGGGGGCGTTCGTTAAGGAAAGTGCCCAGGAGGCTGCAGACCCCGGAGGATTCCTTCTCTGATGAGGGCGGTGGTTATATCCATGGCCGATCCAGTATTAGATTTCCGATTTCCACAGGCTTCCAGACCCTGGATTCCTTATCTAAGGTGCCCCCACTGTAGAACCAATCCCCCCCTCCCCCCCCCGCAGCCGTTTTCTGTGCAGGGGCGGCGACGTGGGGCGCGGCCTGCGCGCGCGTTCCAGCGCGTGGGTGGCAGACCATGGCGCCACCGCATGAGGTGAAGGTCAAGTTCTGCACCGGGAAGGAGTGGATGAGGCCTGTGGCCGGGCGGCACGCAAGCATGGCCATTCGCCAACATTAGGCGAACGGATAATGATATGAACAAAACAACTCTGAGCTCCGCGCGGATTTCAAGTCCGCGCGGATTTCTCGGATCTGCGCTGGACTCCCTGGCGGCGCCTCCAGCGCCGCCCCTGGCGCGCTCCGCGCGCCATGGAGGGGGGTCCAGCACGGATCCGAGAAATTGGCGCGGACCTCCAATTTTTTATGTTTATGTCATTCTTCGTTCCCCTACGAGTGGCCTCGTCCTGAAGGAAATCCACATCTCCGACGATGCGATTCTTGTCAACCAGCGTGTTTCTTCCTCGATAATGGTCCCTCGGGTGCAGTTGTGGGGCCCCGGGGCCATCAACAGCCGGCCTGGGACGAGAAAAGCGGTCCAGGGGAAGCGGTCGGGATTTTCAAGCAGTAGCGAAGCGTCTTTTCCTGTTTCGCATACAGAACCGCCACATAATGTTACAATACTATGTTGTGGTTTGCACGACATGTTCTCAGAGCGTTTCTGGCTGGAACTGCCTTGTTTCACAACACGTCGGGCTTATATTCCAAGAGCATGGTCTTCCTTATCAGAACATATTGGGGTTCTAAAAACATGTCGTGGTGGGCATATAGGAATGCTGGGACGGTCAGTCCCTGCTCAAGACTTGAGGGCCGCGGGTTCGGAGCAGCCTGTCGGCAGGCGTCCGGGCGCGGCCCCGCGACGGAAGGAGGAGGGAGGAGGAGGAGGGAGGAGGAGGAGGAGGAGGAGGAGGAGGGAGGAGGGAGGGCGGAGGAGGGAGGAGGAGGAGCAGGAAGGAGGGAGGAGGAGAGGGAGGAGGAGGAGGAGGAGGAGGAGGAGGAGGAGGAGGAGGTGGAGGAGGAGGGAAAAAAGGAGGAGGAAGGGAGGAGGAGGAGGAGGAGGAGGAGGAGGAGGAGGAGGAGGAGGAGGGAGGAGGAGGAGGAGGAGGAGGAGGAGGAGGAGGAGGGGAGGAGGAGGAGGAGGAGGAGGAGGAGGAGGAGGAAGAGGAGAGGAGGAGGAGGAGGAGGAGGAGGAGGAGGAGGAGGAGGAGGGCGGAGGAGGAGGAGGAGGAGGAGGAGAGGAGGAGGAGGAGGAGGAGGAGGAGAGAGAGGAGGGAGGAGGAGGAGGAGGAGGAGGAGGAGGAGGATGGAGGGAGGAGGAGGAGGAGGAGGAGGAGGAGGGAGGAGGAGGAGGGAGGAGGAGGACGAGGAGAGGAGGAGGAGGAGGAGGAGGACCAAGGAGGAGGAGGAGGAGGAGGAGGAGGAGGAGGAGGAGGAGGAGGGAGGAGGAGGAGGAGGAGGAGGAGGAGGAGGAGGAGGAGGAGGGATTCGTCCCGCGGCGGAGGGGCCTCGCCACGCAGGGGCAGGGGCCCCCGAGGGAAGCGCGGGCCCTGGCGCTCCTGCTCGCCCCTTCCTGGGCTCAGCCGCCCCCCCCCCCCCTCGGGGCCGTCGGAGGACGGCCTGGAGGAGGAGGAAGGGCCAGGAGGAGGCCAGGAGGAGGGAGGAGGGAGGATGGAGGGGGAGGAGGGAGGAATGATGAGGGAGGGAGCGAGGATCGAGGAGGGAGGAAGAGGAGGAGGAGGAGGGGAGGAGAAGGAGGAGGAGGAGGAAAAGGAGGAGGAGGAGGAGGAGGAAAAGGAGGAGGGAGGAGGAGGAGGAAAAGGAGGAGGAGGAGGAGGAGGAGGAGGAGGAGGAGGAGGAGGAGGAGGAGGAGGGAGGAGGGAGGAGGAAGGGCTGGGAGGAGGGAGGAGGCAGGGCTGGGTGGGCCCAGGGCCCTGTCGGGCGCTGCGTCATGGGGGTTGGGGGCGACGAAGGGAAGCAAGCGGTGGCGAAGGCAGGGGGCACGTTCCGCGCACTCCAGGGGGCCTACCGGGGGGCTCTCTGGGCCGCGAGGGGGGCACGTTTCTTCGCCCTCCCCTCCCTTCTAGGGCTCATGCCGACTCTTCCCATTCGATCTCGATGGCTTCCGATTCCGGTTCGACTCGATGTCAGCTTCCGATTTGGTGCCCGATTTCTCAATGGAGGCCTACCAGCCTGCCGATGTCTGCCGATTCGACTTTTCCTGACTCGGCTGCCGACTTCCGTCGAGCCGAATCATGTCGATTGCCGACCTGACTTGTCGGTTCGAGTATGTGTTATCGTGCCTTTCCTTCGAGTGCCATGTGGGACCTGCTTTAGAACCAGAGCATATACCGTAGACAGATCTGCACTTTCTCTGACCTTGTAGCGCGTCGAACCCAACGGCCGACGCATCCACCACGTAATGATGTGTCTATGTACGCGACGACACACAATCTGTCCATAGACATTTGTGGCTAGAACCTGAGAAGGGTAGAAGGCATATGCCCCAAATGTTGGTCTGCTAGAAAGATAGATTTGGCCCTCGAAACCCTTCCTTCGCCCGTCCACTGGGCAACGCCCAGCCCAGGGCCCGTCTCCTCCCAGACATCCAGCTGCTCCAATTTTTTCGATGCGTGGGCCCCAGAGGTCCGGATCACTTTCCTAGAGCCTGTTTTTCGACCAGGGTCGCGTTCTGACGTTGCCGAGGCCTGGCGAGGGCCCCCAGGGGCGGAACACGGCCGACATCCACCCGCTCCAATTTTCGTCGGAGCCCCGGATCTCTGGGCTTGAAGGCCCGCCTCCGTCTTGCCAGCCCACCGTCGGGCAGGACTAGGACGAGGAGCAATCTGGTCCAGAGCGTCCTGGAACGCTCTCGGAGCGTTCCTGAACGCTCTGAGAGGGCCGCGCCGCCCGATCCACTCTCCAGAGCCGCCGGACATCAGAGATTCTCGATTCATCCTCGCCCGATGTTCTCCTCGTCCTGGCGTCGTCTTACATTGGGACCCCCCGATCGCCGAGTGCGGCGCGGCAGCGGCGGCCTCGCGCGCAGGGGCGTGGCCGTCGCCCCGTGCGCCACCCCTGGCGGCGGCCGCCTGGCACGGCGGCGAGATGCGAACCCTTCTGGGGTGACTGGGGAGCTCCCCCTCCTCCTCCTCCTCGTCCTCCTGATCCTTCTCCTCCTCCTCCTCCTCCTCCTCCTCCCTCCTCCTCATCTCTCATCATCCTCATCATCATCATCATCATCATCATCATCATCATCATCATCATCATCATCATCATCATCATCATCATCATCATCATCATCATCATCATCATCATCATCATCATCATCTCCTCCTCCTCCTCCTCCTCCTCATCATCATCCTCATCCTCCTCCTTCCCCGCCCCCTCCGCCCAATCCTCCTCGCGCCCCCTTCTCATCCTTCTCCTCCTCCCCCTTCTCCTCCTCCTCCTCATCATCATCATCCATCTCCTCCCCCTCTTCCTCTCCTCCTCGTCAAACTTTTTATCAGTTGCAAGAGATTCCCGGATGGAGGGTGTCTCCTTTTCAAGATGTGGCTCTCCGCGCAGCGGCGCGCACATTAGTATCACGAGTTTGCAGCAGTTTCAAGGTTTTGTTCATAGTTAACGTCCCAGCAATGGTGGCTTGGCACGATGTCGGAATGTCAGTGCGCAACGGTCGCGTTGGTTCGCGGTGTTGGAGTCCCAGGAGCAGCGTTCTGGAACGATTCGGAATCCTCAAGACACAACAGCAGTAGGGGTGAATCGTGGCGTTGAAGTCCCATGAACGGCTTTCCGGCACAATTCTTGATGTTCAAGCAGTTGGCTTCTGACGGGGCATTTCCTGCAGTGAGCATGAATGCGTGCTGGAGCCGATGAAAGGGGGAATTTGGAGGGAGGGTGTGTTGCAGTATCGTTCATGACTCTTGGGTCTGCAGTGGTCCTCCTCTTCCCCCTTCTCCTGTTCCTCGTCCTCCTCCTCCTCCTCGCCCCTTCGCCCTTGCCCCCTCCTCCTCCTCCTCCTCCTCCTCCTCCTCCTCCTCCTCCTCCTCTTCCTCCTCCTCCTCCTCCTCCTCCTCCTTCTCCTCGCCCCCCCTCCTCGCCCCCTTTTTTTCCTCCTCCTCGCCCACTCCTCCTCCTCCTCCTCCTCCTCCTCCTCCTCCTCCTCCTCCTCCTCCTCCTGCTCCTCCTCCTCCTCCTGCTCCTCTCCCCCTCCCCCTCCTCCTGCTCCTCGCCCCCTTCCGCCCCTCTCTTCCTCCTCCTTTTCCTCCTTCTGCCCCTCCTCATCCTCCTCGTCCTCCTCGTCCTCGCCCCCTCCTGCGGCAGCGAAAAGCGGACCCGACCCTCGCCGAGGAACGATTCAGAAACAATTCGAGCGGCGGCGTGGGCAGGGTTCGGAGCTCGTCCAACAAATTGCGAAAACCCACCCTCGCCGATCAACGATTCAGGGGCAACTCGATGAGCGGCGGGGGTACATTTTGGAGCTTGTCGAGCACGCGGCGACATCCGAACCATCCCCTCGGCTCCTATCGATTCAGGCGAATGGACGGTTTGGGGGGGGAAGGGCTCGGATGTCCTCTCCTGGTGTCGCAGCGTCACTCCTGTCGCAGGGCCGCTCTCTCGCGCGTGGCCGGCTTGAGGGCTGGGGGGCCCGTGCTGCGCTAGGCCTCCCAGGTGGCGTCCGAGTAGTAGATAGCGTCGGGGGATCGCGCCGCATCGCCGAGGCATCGGCGATGCGGCTCGATGTGGGGCCTTATTTTCTCCACGCCGACGGCGCCGATACATCGCAGATGTCGCCGATGCATCGCCGATGCATCGGTGATGCGGCGGTATCCTCCGACCCCGTTTGCCCGCACCCCATCCAGGAGGTCTCTGTTTATTCCTGGGGAGTACACAATCAGCACGCGCACATGAGCTCACGCGAGAGTTCGTGCCACGAGGTCGGTCTCGCGAATCGGGGGGACACGTCCATCTGCTTGGCGGGGCGCGTACGTCCTTGCTGAGCCCCCAACCCTCCAGAGGAACACCAACAGCCGCGCTGGCCGCAGCCAGCCCTCGTGGTCAGGGGCATCGCTAGGGGGGGATGCGCTCAGGGGAGAATGGTTCGACCCCCAATCGCCCAGTCATCGCCCCAGGGGCCCGATAGCCCACCCCGCCCAGGACAGTGCGGATTCGCCATCGGGGGCCGGTCGCCGGTCTATCGACGATGTAGCGTCGTCTCCAGCCCAGTTGTTTCTTCCCTGAGGCGGTCCCCACCGAACGTTCCCCTTGGGGCGGTCCCCCCTAACCTGGTCTTCGGAGGAGGAGGAGGAGGAGGTGGAGGAGGAGGAAGAGGCGGGAGGTGGGAAGGAGGGAGGACGAGGGACGAGGGAGGAAGACGATGAGTGAGGGAACGGAGGATGAAGAGTAATTGCAGTCGAATCCGAAAACGTGGATGAGCGATTTACCAAGGATGCCCTTTCGCCCTTGCCTTTCCGGTCATTTTCGGTCCATCCTCAGCTACTTTCGATGGCCAGCCCCGCTCGAAGATCCTCGGCATGGGTGTCCAAGGATATTGCGTCCTTATCGTGCACCCTTGCTATCAGTTTTGTTGTACACCCATCAGACATTTTAAGAAAAAGCGTCAGCGTTCGTGGACTCCAGATTCTGCTCCAGAAAATCGAGAGCCTGGACTGGACCCTAGGCGTCTCCTTGGAGCTTCCTTTCCTCGTGGAAGTACCTCCTCATCTGGACCTGGACTAGACTGGTCAAGAAAAAACGCTCCGGGTGAAGCCGATGTTCTTAGCCTACAGTTTCCTTATCTCCGAGCAGGGGTGTGTAGGAGGCTGGGGGCGAGGAGGAGGAGGAGGAGGAGGAGGAGGAGGAGGAGGAGGAGGAGGAGGTGGCCAGGCGGGCGCCCGCGGGCGTCTGCTCTGGCTGCTCCCTCGTGACCCCTCTCCTTCTCTCTCACTCCTTACTGGGGTCGAGCCCCAGAGTTTTGTCTTACCTCTCGCGCCTCACCTTTTCCCTAGTGAGCCCCCGACCCCCTCTGTGTTCCGACGAGGGGCGCTCGGCAGGACAGGCGGTTGCAGGATCAGCTTCGTCAGCCGGTTAGCAGCAGCAGGTGGCCACGCGGGCGTCCGCGGGCGTCTGCTCCGGCTGCTCCCTCGTGGCTCCCGCTTCCCCGCGGGCCGTTCTCTTTGGGGGGGGGCCGCCCCGCCGACCACGCGCCGAGAGGCCGAAGCTCGAGCGCTTCGTGGACCTCCTAAAGGACGTCGGAGGAGGAGAAAGCTGCGCTGCTCCTCCTCCTGCTCCTGCTCCTGCTCCTCGTCCTCCTCCTCCTCCTCCTGCTCCTCCTGCTCCTCCTTCTCCTCCTCCTCCTCGTCCTCCTCGTCCTCCTCCTCCACCTCCTCCTCTTCCTCTTCCTCCTCCTCCTCCCCCTCCTCCCTTTTTCTCCTCCTCAGCCTCCTCCTCTCCAGGACCCACGCATGTACATCACCACCGCGGGCTGGTGTTCTGTCATTGGGGTGGAACGGGTTCTGGTTTCGGCGGTGGCTTGCAGGGTGCGTCGAATCTCGCGGTAATGACATGTCGCGTGTGCAGCGTCATTTGGGCACGGGGTTGCATGCGCAAAAAAAAAAAATCACATGGTGAATGTTTCGGGGTGGTGTATAACATTCCCGGGGGGTACATTGTTTTAATACACCAGCACAGTGCTGCCATAGGGTGCTCGGGAACAATTATTCGCGACCGAATGCGGCCGCCATCTGCGCGCATGACCGCGTGGCAAGTACTTGCGCTTGGCGGGGGCAGGCAGTGGCACCCCTGTCAGGGCGGTCGCGCGCAGGATGTTTCCCTTTCCTATGGCCGGCTGGTGGTGGTGTATCTATTGGGGCCCCGCATCCTCCTCCTCCTCCTCCTCCTCCTCCTCATCATCATCATCATCATCATCATTATCATCATCATCAACATCATCATCATCGTCATCATCATCATCACTGGGACGTGCGATGAATGACGAGGAAGAGGCACTACAGTTCCGAGAGGAGGTGGAGGGGGCACTGGCGAAGCAGTTACACGAGGACGGGTACCTGGAGGTGGACGCCTGGATGCGCGCTCACACGCTCGAGACAGCCTGGGAGAAGGTGGTGACGACGATCCGCACGGTTGCCCAAGCTCGGTACAGCACGACACGTCGACATAGGCCGCAGTGGTACGTAGAGATGGCGAGAGAAAGGGAGGCTGCGCTGAGAGCTCGTACCAGAGCACGTGACAAGCTCGACGGCGACCTGGACAGCATCCGACGACTGCGACAGTGTACGCGACGATGCAAGCAAGCAAGGATGACCATCAAGAGGGAACGACAGAGTGAGCTGAATCGCGAATTGGAGGAGGCACTACGAGGTAACCGAGAAGATCTGGCCTGGAGGATAAGCTTTCACATGGCGGGCAATGGATTGGGACCACGGAAGCGGAATCATTACATACTACCTGATGCCAGGCCTGACCTACAAACGTGGACGGAGTACTTGGCACAGTGGACGGGAGGGTGGGATGGAGGCCATTGCCACTACGACGGAGGAGTTTATTGGTGCAGCGTCCGCCCACGACTATCCATTCTACCCCGAAATGGAGCACTGGGAGCAGGCCAACCGTGACCTGGATGGAGTAATTGCGAAGTTATACCAAGGACGACGCCGACGTGCAGCACCACCGTGGTCACTACCGATGGAGGTTTGGAGTACTCTTCTCACCTGCCGCGCGCCACGACGTACCACCAATGACCAACCAGCTGTGGCGGGGGCTTACCTACAAGAGTGTCTTCTGGCACAACTCGCGGGAGTACGACAGCACAATCGACTCAACGCCTGGTGGAACCTCTCGCACACGTATCAGATAAGCAAGCAGAATCACAAATCACGGACGAGAGGGACACGTCTACTACACGGGCTCTGCAGTTTCGGCAAGGCTTGGGTGGGGGCGAGGCAGCCTAGGACTGGACTGACTCCACCACCTGAGGATCATGGCTATGTGAGGGGGCTGTCACGAGTGGGTGCGTTGACCGTGGGCAATGTGTTACAATGGCGACTCAGTGCAGCAGGCCTGAGCCACATCACGACCAAGCACGACATGACGAACGCCTTCGCCAGCGCCACGCACCACCACCTCGACGACACGGTCCAGCAGCTGTGCCAGCCTGAGGATGGGAAGAATATGGTTACACGACATCGGGACGCAGCGTGCGTGGTCGACGCTTGTGATGGCACGGGTGTATTTCAGAGTCGAGTGGGTTGTTTCATGGGTGACGCAGACGCGGCCACGAAGTTTAGGCTGGCTTTTGAGACGCCGACGGCTGAGTGGAGGAGAGATCTCTTTCCTACGACGTCGGTCCACGAGCTGATAGCAGGGTGCGCAGTCACTCAGGAAGTGTGCGATCTGGGAGTGAGGAAGTATGCTGATGACCTCACATGTACTCATACTGCCCCAGATGCTCGCAGTGCAGCTCGTCGAGTGGAAGTTTCAGATCAGTGTCTTGATGCTGCGCTGGGACGAGTTGGCCTCGCCCAGAGCCGTGAGAAAAAAGCTGTGAGTCCATGGTTCGTGGGGCGAGGGGCTCAGAGGCCTGCAAGGGCCCTGCACTACCACGCGGTCGCCATCTCGGGGGAGGTCCAGGCGACCTCGGTGTTCTTGGGAGCTCACGCGCAGTCTTCGGGGAGGAACGACGAGGAGATCCGAGCTAGATGCGCGGCGATCCGAGTGGACTGGCGAGGAATGGGGAAGTTCTGGAAGACCTGTCAGAATTTTAATCGGAGGCGTCTGGTGTTTCGGGCTCGTCTTATAGGAGCGGCGCTGGCGGGACTTGAAGCTCGGGTTTTGACAGAGGAGCAGGTCAGGCGTCTTGACTCGGTGGCTACGCGCTATGCTGCTGCGCTGTGCAATGGGGTAGCGGTCTATCGCAGGCTGAACGAGGGTGAGGTGGAGGGGGGAGGCGAAGCTGCGGAGGCCAGGTGGAAGGTGACGACGGTGTGCGCGGAAGCCGTGTGGAAGCGCATCGCGATAGCCCCCCCCCCCCCCCAGCGTGGAACTTGGTATCCGACGGCTCCGCCACTTTCAAGCTCTCGTCCGCAATCCCCAACGGCACGTTCAGGAGCTCGCTGCTGTTTTCGGGAAAGTCACTTTCGAGAACCCAGAGATCCAGACTTTTGCGCGTGCGCCACCGCGTGCCCCGACCATCGCCCCAAAGGATCGCACGAACCCCTGGGCCCTGCAGTACAAGAACGACCTGTTTCTTCTTGGGAAGCTCCAAGGGGGCCTGGATTTCCTGGAGACGGTGGGGGACGATCACACGCAGGTTCTCCTGGACGCAGAACTGAAACAGCAGTTTCTCAAGTTCGATGTAGCGAAGCTCCGCAAGGTCTGGCTTGAGCGCCCCACAATTACTCCCACGAGGCCGCACGAGGATCAGGAGTGCTTCGAGAGCGGTTTTCTGTGTTCGCTGATCGACGAGGAGGGTCTGGAATGCAACCGTGGGTTTCGCACAATGGCGGCGCTTCGTGCGCATCAGACACACGCAGGCGGAGGGGGGCGCGGAAAACTGAACTTCTTCACGAGATTGACAGTGACGAACCAGTGCCCTTCGTGTTTGTCATCGTTCGCTTGTCGCCGCACTGCTATCAACCACATCGCTGCTGCCTATAGACATGGACGATGCATCGCTGACTTCTCGGCGTTCAATCATGCTGTCATCGCTCCGCTGCTGTTTGAGTGCCCAGAAACAGAATGTGGCCAATATTTCGGTGATCTCCAAGCCCTGCAGCACCGCATTCGCACTACTCATCTTCCTCAACCTCGGCCGCATGTCGTGGATGCAGGGGCTGCCCGAGATAGCCGAGGGCGACGCCGAAGGACGGCCGAGGAAGACAGCCAAGGGAGGGCGCAAGAGCGGCCCCCAGACCGCCAAGGCGGCCAATGCTACAGGCAAGGGCGGCGGCAACGAGAAGGCGCAGAGGAAGGGCGCGAAGCTGGTGGACCCCAGCGAGCTCGACGGAGACGAGATAGAGGTGACGACCATGCAGAAGTTCTTTCCCGTGACGATGCGCTTGTTGCTGAACCTGGCGCACCGCCAGGGGCAGATCGAGTCGATCGAGCTGAAGACGTTCCTCATGTCGCCAGGGCTGCAGCCAGCGGTCAAGGCGCGGGGGCGAGTGCGAGCGTGGATTCGCGCCGCCGAGGAGATCCGCGCAGGCAACGACAATGGGCAGGGCCAAGTGAAGATCAAGCAGATGGGTACGATCTCAGTGGCATGCTTCGCGGGAGTGCTCGAGGGACTGCTGGCAGAGGGAAGCGCGGTGGGCCGCGCGAACCAGCAACAACTCAGCACTCTGAGGGAAGAGCTAGCGAAGCTGACTGTGCACGAGATGGGCGAAGTAGTACCGATGGCGAAGCTCTCAGACTGCTACGAGGAGGGCAAGGTGAAGCTGGTGCGTTCGGGGGCCGAGCGAACCTGACCCCCGTGCTGGAGGTCCTAGTCCAGGCAGGGGCAGACTACAAACAGGGGATGGCCCCGATGGGCCACTTAGAGAGGCTGATCCACACGGGCCTGCACGATATCGAAGGAGGCATGATAGACTAGGCCGAACACAGTCACCAGACGCAGGACCACGGCGCGAGGGGCCAGAGGAGAAACGACGACGCCAGGATGCCGTGGTGAGAAGGCTTTGTGAGGCTGCACGTGAGGCCCAGGTGGCCCCTTCTCCCCTCCTCGCAAATTCCTCCGACTCTCCACCCCTGTGCCCGACAGGCTGCCAGTAGGACTCTGGAGACTCCCGCCCCTTCCTCTCGGCCTGACGAGCCCCCTCTCACCTGCCCCACCCCCGCTCCTCGGCTCCAGGTGGCACCGCCACGCCCTGTCAAGACCCCAAGACCCGTGCGGCCTCAGAGGCCCCCTGCGGACCCTGGAGTGCGTGCTGCTTCTGGAGGCGCGTCTAGGGACCTGGGTGGAGCCCGACAGGGCTCTAGGTTTTCTGAGCGCTTTAGCCAGGCTGACCAGTCAGCCGTGCTTCGACTTCTCGCGGGGGCATCGCGGTAACTACTGAACGTAGTAGTGTGCCGCGAGATGCGTGGTCGCACATCGCATACTTAAGCTCGGGTTTAGCCCGATCCTAGAGGCGTTTGGGCACGTGGGAGTGACGGGGCCGCGTCCGATGGGTTCTAATTTAATCTAATCTAATCTAATCTAATCATCATCATCATCATCACCATCATCATCATCATCATCCATCTCCTCCTCCATCTCATCCTCCTCGATCGGCGGCCAGCGTGGGTGGGTAAATGAGAAGGGGCGGGCTTCCTCAGAAGGCCCGAGCGTCCCCCAGCCTTCCCCGAAGACACTGAAAACTTTATTTCGGAAGGGTAGAGGGCTTCGGAAAAGTCCCGCCGCCTTCTGGGAGGGCCTTTTCCTTCTCTATTTCCCTGTTTCGCTCGCCGCCGACTCGGTCGTCGATCACCGATCCTCCATCTCGGTTGGCCCAAAGGGGGTTCACCTGAAAGGGGGTGGTGCAATGATTCGGGGCAATTGTACTGCAACTGCATTGCGCCGGGGAAATGTGTTGCGTCGAGTTGCAATTGATGCGTTGCACTCGAGAATCCAGCAATACATCTGCGCCCCGGATTGCATTGCACACCCCAAAGGTATTCAAATTTATCCCACCGGATCAACTGCATGCCCCCGACGTCATGGTCTTTTCATACCCTTTGTAGCTGGACCCCCTTTTCCATACCCCCGACGTCATGGTTTTTTCATTACGTCGACCCCCCGAAGTGTCGACCTATTCCCCAGGACCGGTTTGTCATCCTGAATCGGTTTTTGACGGTAAGGGCACCCAGTGGCCGAAAATGGCGAAACACCTCCCGTCATGTTGTTGCCATTGCTCGAGGGGGTCACTTGATGGATCCTCGTCCCTCGAAGATCGAGGATCGTGGGTGTGCGATGCCTGCGGCCGCTTTCGGGTCCCCAATGAAGCCGCCGGCAGAGGAGGAGGAGGAGGAGGAGGAGGAGGAGGAGGAGGAGGAGGACCAGTGGAAACCCAAGAGTCATCAACGATGTTGGAATACACCCTCCGTCCAAGCTCCCTCGTCACAGGCCCGTACAACGGTTCATTTCCAATGAGGGAATTTTGCCTCGTTGGGAGACAACCGTTTGAAGACTTTGAAGCATACGGAAACAATGTTTTCGGGATGTCAACGCAACGGATCAACCTGACTGTTGCAATGTGGCGACGCGGAATCGTGCCAGATCACTTTTTTTTTTTGTGAGATTCTAGCACAGCGAACCAACGTAACCGTTGCAACCTCATAATCTTGAATCCTTCCAGAAACACCATTTTTGGTACTTTCATCATGGGAATTCGTGCGATTCTTGCGAGAGCCATAGTTTGGAAACGACCCGCCCTCAATCCGTGAAACTCTTGCTTGTTTTTGAAACGAATGCGCGCGCGGCTTAGGCGAGAACCACATTTTGAACATGATCCGCCCTCAATCCGTGAAGCGAATGCAACTTTTTGGAACGAATGTGCGCGGCGCTAATGCGAGAGCCATATTTTGACAACCACCCGCCTTCAATCCGTGAAACTCTTGCATTTCTCTTATTAGCGAATGTGCGCGCCGCTCAGGCGAGAACCACATTTTGAGAACCACCCGCTCTCAATCCGTGTTATTGTTGTCATTTTTCAGGCTTCACGGTCATAAGCGGTGAGGGAATCTCAGGCGAAACGCCCGGGTCCGCCCTAAAATCTGGTTTCGTTGTGCGACAGGGAGACATTATTTATAAGGAAAGAAATGGAGGAGGAGGTGGAGGTGGATGACAAGGAGGAGGAGGAGGAGGAGTAGGAGGAGGAGGAGGAGGAGGAGGAGGAGGAGGAGAGGAGGAGGAGGAGAGGAGGAGGGAGGAGGAGGAGGAGGAGGAGGAGGAGGAGGAGGAGAGGCAGGAGGGGTAGGAGGAGGATGTGGAGAAGGAGAGGAGGAGGAGGAGGAGGAGGAGGAGCAGGAGCAGGAGGGGCAGGAGGGGCAGGAGGGGCAGGGGTAGGAGGAGGAGGTGGAGAAGGAGGAGGAGAAGGAGGAGGAGGAGGTGGAGCAGGAGGAGGTGGAGGAAAGTGGAGGGGGAGGAGGAGGGGTAGGAGGTGGAGAAAGTGGAGCAGAAGGAGGAGTTGAGAGAGGAGGACGAGGAGGAGGAGGAGGAGAAGGAGAAGGAGGTGGAGCAGGAGAGGAGGAGGAGGAGGAGGAGGAGGAGGAGGAGGAGTAGGAGGAGGAGGAGGAGGAGGAGCAGGAGGAGCAGGAGGAGGAGGAGGAGGAGAAGGAGGAGGAGGACGAGGCGCTTGCCTTTGGGGGCCTCCAGCGGTGATCTCCGTCTGCGGAGCCGCCCGGAGGCTCTCGGCGGCGCGCCGAGGAGGGAAGTGTGGGAGGGGGCAGGCTTTCTCAGAAGGCGGCGGGGCTCATCGAGAGCCCTCTGGCCTTCTGGGAAGCCTCCTTGTTCTAGGCTTAAGCAGGGCCTCTCCCTCTACAGGAGGAATAGTCAAACAATAGTCAAAACATAGTCTGGGGACAATTTTTGTTGAGCACTTTTTGTATATTTTTGGATATTTCAGGGGCATTTCCTATTTTCCTGCAAAATCCGCCTGTAATGGGACATGCCCGACCTAATTCTAGGCCTCCCAGATGGGGTCCGAGTAGATGGGGTCGGAGGATCGCGCCGCATCGCCGATACATCGCCAATGCGGCTCGATGTGGAGCCCTATTTGCTTCACGTCGACGTCGCCGATGCATCGCCGACGTCGACGATGCATCGCCGGTGCATCGCCAGTGCATCGCCGGTGCATCGGCGATGCATCGCCGATGCATCGCCGATGCATCGCCGATGTATCGGCGATGCGGCGCGACCCTCCGACCCCATCTATTCGGACCCCATCTAGGAGGCCTCTCTGTTTGTGACTTCGGGGAGTGGCTCAGAAAGCTTCGCAGAAGGCCAGAGGACTTCGCAGAGCCTGCTGAGAAGGCCTGCCCCCTCAATCTTGCCCCCTGGTCGTGCCGCCGACGCGGGGGATGCTGAGAAAGGCCAGATGACTTCGAAGAGCCTGCTGAGAAGGCCTGCCCCCTCGATCTTGCCCCCTGGTCGTGCCGCAAACCGCCATGTGCATCACGATCGCGTGAAATCCGAGGTGAAGGGCGGGCCCAGGCGAGCAGGCAGTAAAACAGGCGAAGAACCGAGTCGGGGATCGACTACAGAGTTGATTTAGCCCAGAATCTATTTGTTCGTGGAAGCTACGGAAAATGCGAACAATGCTCGTAGATCTACGAAAATCATGCGCATGTGTTGCATTTTCGACGAGAAGGTCAATGTCGGGATGCATCAATTGTGTAGTCCATCCCCTATTCGAGTGAAGAGACAAAGACGTGCGCAGACACATTTGGAGGTCCGCTTGGAGCTCCAGAGGGTTGTGCTCATGCCGTCTTCTCTTTTTTCAGGACAAGCTCGGAGACAAGGCCATGGTTACCGTGGAGGAGGGGGAGCAGGGCAGGGTCATCGTGTCTTTGGGAGGCGAGATCATGTACGACAAGACAAAAGACAAGTACTACCAGCCCGGATACGAGGGCGGCTGCGGCGGCTTCGGAGTGCCGACGCCAGAGAGGCTTCACGAGGTGACCAAGTCCATCGGTGACAAGTGTGGCGTGGACGCCAGGTGGACCAGCGCGGAGCTCAAGGAGATGCTGCAGCTTCAGCAGGACCACATGAAGGAAGGCAAGCAGAACAGGGCGATCTACATGGTTGACGGCAAGATGTACGACCTCAAGGATTTCATCCCGATGCACCCTGGCGGGGTAAGATGGTTCAAGACCCCTCATGTGGACATCACGGCCGAGCTCAACACTTACCACGACAATCCACAGAAGATCCGCGGTGTTTTGAAGAACTACGAGATCAACGATGTCGGGTACGGCGATGTCCCTCTGATCTTGTCACCTCCACCTTTCCTTAACGTTGGCGCTCAGGCAGATGGTGGCTCAGGCGAGGTCTTCGACTGGGACGACCCCAAATGCCTCGTCCCTACCATCCGCAGACGTATCCGCGAGGATAAGGGTCTTGTCGAGAGGATGAGGCAGGCGGACATGAATTTTGACCGCGCGGTGAAGTGCATTTTCATCGTCCACCTCCTTCTCATCTTCCCAGTTGTAGGGTATGGGCTCTTACCTTTGTGGTTGGTAGTGATTTTGATGACGGTAACCCGGACCAGTCTAGCTGCATGCGGCCATTACCATTGTCATCGGGCAAAGGATGGCACCAAAGATTGGGGCGAGGCTTTCTTTGACATGCAGTACGTTGGTCAGCATTTGATCACTTTTCTTGGGCACGTGATCGGGCACCACGTGCAGAGTGACCGATTCAAGGATCCTAAGGCAACCGTTTTCACCGCGATGCTGGAGATTCCACGAATATGGCGGATACCTTCGTTCACATTCTTCCGTTTTGGCCACATGCTCACCGGCACTTTCCTGAGATACGTGAGGTTCGCTATCATAGACACAGACTCCGTCGACGAGGTTGCGTTTACTCATACCGGTACCGCTTGGAACAAGCTGAAGACAGCACAGTTTTTTTTTGTGCGCATGTTGCTCGTCATTGAGTTCTTCTGGTGCGTCTACACAGGTCATTGGCTATTCTGGGCCGTGCAATTCACCACCACCGTCTGGGTGAATTTGTTCATGATCGTGTCTAGCCACGAGTTCGAGAATCCGCCAGCGATCCGCGAGAACAACAGGGACTGGGGAGTCTTCCAGGTGGAGAACGCTGCCGATGTGTACATCACAGGGTTCAAGTACCTGGACACATTCCTGAGTGCTGGCCTCACAGAACATAGGGTCCATCATTTGTTGCCGAACAACCGCTCAGGTTGGGCGAACATCGTCGTTGAACCACTCGTGAAGGAGGTTTGCGAGAAGGAGTTCGGCATCAAGTGGGACCCGCCAGTCAACTTCTGGACCGTGCGCGTGGCCCAGCTCGCCAGGATGTACTTCACCGACCCAGCGCGGTATCCCAAGTTCCTTGGCGGAGAGAAGATGGGCGGGGACACCGGGCCCGAGTGGTGGTGCTTCGTCAAGGAGCACATCAACCCTGGCCCCCTGGTCAAGACGTTCGCGTTCACCATGCTGGGCTTCGTCGGCATGGGCATCTAGGAAGCTGTAGTATGGTAGTCCCTGCTCCACCGAGGCAGGAGAAGCGACTCCACCACCAGCAGCGCACCGCATCTGGCGAGGTCGTCCACGGAGCCTCCTCGAGCGAAGGTTTGGAGATGTCTCGCACAGGACGCACCGCCCAGAGGCCCTGGCCTGCCTCCCGCCCCTGGTGGCGGGGTGATGGTGTCGCCTCTCCTGGCGCCTGGACTCCGCGGCGGCTGCGGTGTGGCTGCAGGGATGCGCGCCGCGGCGCTGGGGGGGGGGGGGAGATGGGCTACGGGGCGGGGCGAGGGGAGCTCCGAGCCGCAGGCGGCCACCTCTCGCCGATCCGGGCCTGGGCGTCCCAGCCTCCCCCCGGAACGTCGGGCTCCCCCGTCGCGGACCCGTCGCCGATCCACCAGGGGACGGGTCGTTGCGGTCGATCACGGACGCCTCGTGAGCGGCAGTCGTCCAGCCCTCGCGCCGAGGAGTGCGGGAAACTGCCGGAGACCGGCGAGCACCGTCAGAGAGCGCGAGAGGACCGCCGAGAGGACCGCCGAGGGCGGCGGCCCAGGAGCGAGGGGCAACAGGGGGTCCGTGGTCGAACATGGGTTCCGTCGGCGGCGAGGCAGAGGCAGGCCGCTCCAGCGTGAGGCTGATCGGGGCAACCGAAGGGCGAATTGTCCGGCGTGCAAGAGTCAGGAGGGGAAAAGACACAGACACAATTAATCGTCGATTCCCCAGAAAATATAGGAAAATATGGGAAGTGGGGGGAAGACAAAAACTCAGAAAATATAGGAAAATATGGGGAATGCTTTTATTTGCGTGTATTTATTTGTGTGTCCTGGGGCCCCTTCGAAGAGACAGGAGAGAAGACGAGGGCGGCGGCGGTCCATGGTCGACCACGCAAGAGCAACGCTCCCGGGTCGGCGTTCCCCCCCGAGCCGAGTGGACACGGGGTTGGTGGTAGCTGATGCTGTTGTGCCCACGCCCGCGAAGCGGCCTGCCCTAAGCCATGAGCCGATGTTGTGCGTGGTCAGTTTGGTGAAGCCTCCCCGGGGGGGGGGGCCCTCATCGCAACGCACTGTGGTTGGTGAAGGCCTCCGAGCCAGCCGGCCAGCCAACCCCCACCCCCTCACACTTCCGGCTCCCCTCACAGTGGAGACCCGTGCTCAGAAACGGCCTGCTTGCCTCCCGGGTGCCCTGGGTTTCCTGTGCTTCAATGCTTCTGCGATGGAAAGCGTGACGTTCCCACACCAAAAATCAATGGACGTCCTGGGGTCGCAGATTTGGGCTTCTTGTGGACGGTTTCTTGTGGTCGAGCTCATCCTGCACGCACGCGGCACTATCCCGCCACCGCCGCCAGGCACTGCCGCCAGAGTTCCCGGGGGCTCAACGCCTTGTCGCCGACCGGTTCGCGGGGATCGAGGCAGGCACGTCCGCGCGAAGCACAAGAGCGTCAAGGCACATCCAGGCCAAATCCAGGTGCACCCCGAGGTGCCAGCTGGGACATCCGGGGAGAGCGCGGGCGCTCCCGCGCGACTCGAGGGGGGGGGGCAGCCGAAGTCCTGGTGCCCCCTGCCGAGCCCGCGCGCCCGCGGCACCCTCGTTGGCGATGCCGTCGCCGGCCGCCCGTGGCGGCCTCACCACCCACCGCGCTCCGAGCTTGGAGGGTTTCTCCGAAAGGCTTAGGCGACCCGTCCTCCTCCTCCCCCTCCTCCTCCTCTTCCTCCTCCTCCTCCTCCTCTTCCCTCCTCCTCCTCCTCCTCCCTCCTCCTCCCCCTCTATCTCCCCCTCCTCCTCCTCCTCCCCCTCCTCCTCCTCCTCCTCCTCCTCCTCCTCCTCCTCCTCCTCCTCCTCCTCGGGTCGCCTACGGCCCCGGGGGAAACCGTGCACCCGAGCTTGTTTGGAGGGCGGCGCTGCGCCGCAGCCGCTCGGGCAGTGGAGACGGACTCCGCCGGCCGTAAGTGCCAGCTGCCCTGCGAAGGTGCTCCTCGCCTCCTCCTCCTCCTCCTCCTCCTCCTCCTCCTCCGCCTCGCCTGCGGCCCAGCAGCCCAAGGCACGCAGCGGCGCGCGTGCGAGGGAAGGTCAGCATCGTTTCACCGATCCCCGTCCCCATCCCCATCCACACCTCGAGCCCCACCGCCTCACCACCTCCGCTGGGGAGGTGCCCCTCGAAACCGGAAGAGAGCAGCCCGTGTCCCCTATCAGGGGAGGGTAAATCGGCCAGTGGGGCCCAGCCCACGCTGGTGGGGATGGGGATCGGTTGAGCGATGCTCAGAAGGCAGAGGGGGCGGTGCCTCCTCGGAGGGCTCAGACGATCCGAAGGCCCTCGGCCTTCTGCGAGGCCGTCCAGGCCTTCTCCCCCACCTTCCTCTGCCATCGGGCGATCGTACCCCTTAGCGTCGGTGATTTGCGGCTGCCGCCGTCGTCGCCGTCGCCCTCGTTCGCGTCGTTGCGTTCGTTCGTCCGTCGTCGTCGTCGTCGTCGTCGTGCCGTCGTCGACGTCCTCGCCGTCGTCGTTCGTAGTTGTCGTCGTCGGTGGCCCGTCCTGGTGTCCCCTCCCTCGAAGGGGAGCAAAAACGGCACGTAACACACAATCTTCCGGAGGTCCGCGCGGCTCCTCTTGTTTTGAATCGGCGCGGGGGGGGCGCCCCGCCCCAGCGGCGCCGCCCCAGCGGCGCGCCCCGCGCGCCAGCGAGGGAGGGGGGATCTCCAGCGCCGATCCCAGAAATCCGCGCGGACCTCCAGAAGCTCACGTAACTATTTGAACGCTCATCGGCTGATCTTCCACCACCACTACTTTGGGGAGGAGAGGGAGGAGGAGGAGGAGGAGGAGGAGGAGGAGGAGGAGGAGGAGGAGGAGGAGGAGGAGGAGGAGGAGGAGGAGGAGGGGGAGGAGGAAGAGGAGGAGGAGGAGGAGGAGGAGGAGAAGAAGGAGGAGGAGGAGGAGGACCTCCCCAGTCTACTTTCTCCCTCGTCCTGCCTGTGGCGGTGGCGGTGGAAAAGTTGCTCATCAAATGCAGAAGGCTGTTCCTCTAGGATTTTTGGTCACTCGAGCAGATCATATGCAAGAAGCTGTCGGGCTCAGGAGGTGATCGTTCTCTTATGCGTTGGTTTGCCGATCGGCGCGGGCCCTCGCAGCCCCCTCCGCCATGGAGTAGATCTTGGCTGCTTTTGGCGCTTGTTCCAAGCAGGTGGAGCAGGCACGGGGGTCCCGGCTCCGCATAGGACTCGCCAGGGGGGTACTGAGTACTGTTCCAAGCAGGCGCGCGCACTCAGCAGAAGTCCAGAGCCAGATTAGGGGGACGAAAAATGGCCCAAACATGAAAACTCGGAGGTCCGCGCCAATTTCTCGGATCGGCGCTGGACCCCCCTCCCTGGCGCGCGGAGCGCGCCAGGGGCGGCGCCGGAGGCGCCGCCAGGGGGCCTCCAGCGCGGATCCGAGAAATCTGGGCGGACCTCCGAGTATTTCCCTTTCTGCCATTTTCCGTTCCTCTACAGACCCCATCCCTCCCCCCTCACAGGCGACGATAGGGGCGAATAGCCCAGGGGGGAGCAATACATTATCCAGGGGCGCCGATGATCTATGTCTTCGGCGAGGCTCCTGGGCGAATACGTGCAATGCCCGCCTCTGGGCTGTTCGCCCTTCTCGTCGCCGCTGACCCCCCCCCCCCTTTCAAGCAGTGACGAAGCGTCCTGGCTCGCCTATAGCCCATACCAAACAATGTTCTAAGAACCTTTTGTGGTTCCCACGAAAGGATCTTTGAACATTTTTGGCGGAGCCTGTCTTGTTGTATCCCATCGTGTTCATGTTCTAAGAACCTTGCTTTTGTTCTTCGAACATTTCTGGGTTCTAAGAACATGTCGTGGTATGGCTATAGGAATGCCGGGACGGTCGGTCCCTGCTCAACCCTTCCGCTCCATGCCGAAGCGCCGAGCACGACACAGCGCTCGCGCAGGGCTCCACCGTCTGGGCCGCCCCTCCGATCGGGCTCGTGGAGCCTCCTCGCGGCCGAGGAGCTCGCCGCGGCCAGCCAGGAGTCAGGAGGGGTGAAAGCACACACACAGGCACAAGCAAATTGTCGATCCCCCGGAAGATGTGTGGGAAACTGTGGGAAGTGGGGGCGAAGACGAACATCCAGAAAAAGTATGGAACGAGAGCATGGGGAATCTTCGGATTCGTGTGCACTTTTTGTGATATATCACTATGTGTGTGTGTGTGTGCGTGTGTGTGTGTTTGTGTGTGATTGTGTGTGTCTGTGTGTCTGTGTGTCTGTGTGTCTGTGTGTCTGTGTGTCTGTGTCCCTGGGCCCCTTCAAAAAGCCCCCTCCGCGCTCGGCTCTCTGACGCTCCTCGCGCGGCAGCGGCACTGCTGCTCGGCGGCCTCGCGCCACGCGTTAGGCGGTCGGGGCTGGCGCCTGGGCGAGCGCGCCGCGGCCTCCCCGGAAGAGCGCGCCCCTTGCAGCTCGCTCGGGTGCGTGCCTTCTTCTTCTTGGCGAGGGCCACCGAGAAGCATGTTGGGCGGGGCGGAGGGAGGAGGAGGAGGAGGAGGAGGAGGAGGAGGAGGAGGAGGAGGAGGAGGAGGAGGAGGAGGAGGAGGAGGAGGAGGAGGAGGAGGAGGAGGAGGAGGAGGAGGAGGAGGAGGAGGAGGAGGAGGAGGCGGAGGAGGAGGAGGAGGAGGAGGAGGGAGGAGGAGGGGGATGGACGTCCGAGAGACGGCAAGCGTCCGCTGGCGCCCCAGCGCGCGCAGGTGACGGAGAAGACGGCCGCCGAGAAGGAGGCCAGCGGCCACCCCCTCTTCCGGAGCCCGTGGCGTTCAGACCGATCCGATTCGATGTCGGTTTCGGGCGGCCCGATCCGGTTCGCAGGCGCTTCTGCGACGAGCCGACGCGGCCCGTTGCTGCGGCCGCGCGCAGAGGGGGTTAAGGCGAGGGGGGAAGGCTTCTTCGAAGCACCCCTGCTTTTTGGAAGGCGCGGGCCTGGACTGTAGATGCAGGGCCAGCGCCTTCTCAGAAGCAGCCTCCCTCTGAGAAGCCTCCCCCCCTCCCCCTACCCCCGTGTGCGCGCCGCCAACAGCTTGCACACGTCGTGCGTGCCAGGAGCCGCCTTGACAGAGTGGCTGTCGGTCGCAGCTCGCCGAGCGTGCGTCGCTCTGGGAGCGCCGTGGAGGCCTCTTGGGACCATCGTGGCGGCCTCTTGGAGCCCCCTTGGGGCTCTCTGAGGGGCCCTCTGGACTCTTGGGGCTCCCTTGGGGCTCTCTCGAAGTCGGGCGCGTCCCTCGACAGGAGGAATCTTCAGAACTAGTCAACACATCAGTCTGGGGACGATTTTTCGACTAGTCGTGATCATTTTTGAATATGTTTCAATCATCCATTTATGGTTCGATGTTTTCATCATTTTTCGTCCAAAATCCGCCTGCAGGGGGGAACGCCCGGCCTACATCCCTCCGCGAAACTTAACGCAAGTTTTCCCGCGCCGCGCCGGCGCCCCCAGACCCCCCAAGTTTCAATGCTGATGCCGGAACACGTGACTTCACATTTGCCGACGGCGTCCGCGCACCGTGCCGCGCGCGCAACCGATCACTGCAACTGGGGGCGAGGGGGGGGCGGCAAAGCTTGCTTCAAGCTTGTGCTCGTGTATTTGTTGATTGTTTTGCCGATCGGCGCGGGGCCTCTACAATTACTCAATATGAATACTATTCCCCCTCTTCCCCTGATGACGTGCTGGGAGTGTTCGCCCCCCCCCCCGCGTCCTGCTTTTTTACACACAGGATTCCCGGGAGTTGGGTTTTCGCCTGCATTTTTTTTCAAAATGCTGCTCTCGCTGGCCTCATTTTTGGGCCCCGCTCTTTCCGAATCGTGCTCCCGCTGCAGCGTGGGTCTCATTTTCGGCCCCCGGCTCCAGGGCAGATCTAAGACATCCGCGCGGAACTCCGAAAGTTGAATGTTTCTGCCTCTGTGTTGCTTCTGTAGAAAAAGATGCTGAGGGAAACAGGTCCTGGACCAGATCTTCATCCCGAGTCTTACGTCGGGCGTGTCCCTCCACAGGAGATCTACTAAACAATACTTAAAAATAGTCGGGGAACGATTTTTATAGTATTGTTTGATCATTGTTGCGTATGTTTTGATTATGTTCAGTTTTTCGCCCAACATCCGCCTGTACGGTTGTGTTGTTCCAACCTACTTGAGCCTTGATCACCAGAAGGAATTTCGAGCACCAGAAAAGTACTCCGAAACTCCAGGATTTTCACGTGTCGGGCCCTGGGAGACAATCGCCCGACACTGCTTCGACACTCCTTCGACACTCTTCCGGGGGCTCGAAGCTATTTCTTGAATGTGGCCCTTCAGCACGCGGGGAGCAACACAACGGCGATGAGGGGGACAGGCCCGACCCCACCCCGAGTCGTCTGCTGCCAGCCCCCCTGGGCCCGAGGAGGGCGCCGAGGCTCCCAGGGGCGCCCGAAGGGGCCGGCGCAGCAGAGCTCCGTGGCCCGCTGCCCCCGGCGCAGCAGAGCCCGCCGCCCGCCCCCCCCCCCCCCCGACCCGCCCCCGCGCGGCGGGCGGCCCCGCCTCGCCGTCAGGGGAGGAGAAATAGTACCCCTATCTGTCAGTCGGGCCTGTCCCTCGACAGGGGGGAGAATCAAGAGTAGTTGAAACAACGGTCAGGGGACGATTTTTCGAGTGTTACTTATACTTGTTTGGTTACTGTTGGGGTCTATCTAACGTTTCGTCCAAAATCCACCTGTAGGGGGGCAGGCCCGACCTAACCATACCTCTACCCTTCGGGCCGTTTTCCCCTGTTTGGGCCTCCTCGGAGGATCTCGTCGACATCGCTGCATTCGCCTCGAACTTCTGGTCAGAGCGCACCCAGGGAGAGGTCCGGGGAGCAGCGGTATCGGTACCTCTTGGTTTCCCCATGCCATCCTCTCCTGGCCGTCTCTCCCCTTTCTCCCCCCCCCCCCTGCGATGACGATGACGATGACGCCATCGTCATCGCCATCGCCATCGCCGTCTCGCTCGTCGTCGCCATCGCCATCGCCATCTCGCTCATCGTCGTCGTCGGCGTCGTCGTCGCCGTCGTCGTCGTCGTCGTCATCGTCGTCGTCACCGCCCACCGCCTCTCTCCACCCCCCGGCTCTCTCTCTCTCTCTCTCTCTCTCCAGCGCCCTGTGTCCGTTTTTCTATCTGGATCTCTCTCCCTCTCTCGCTCTCTCCCTCTCTCTCTCTCTCTCTCTCTCTCATCTCTCTCTCCTTCTCTCTCGCCCCAATGTAGGTGTATGCATCTCTCTCTCTCTCTCGCTCTCTCTCTCTCTCTCTCTCTCTCTCTTTCTCTCTTATTTTATCTCTTTGATGTTGCTCGTTATCTCCCTCTCTCTTTCTGTTTTGGCTCGTGTTGTTCGTGGTTTGGTGTCTCTCTCTCTCTCTCTCTCTCTCTCTATTTCTCTCTTTGTGTTCCTCCCCCTACCATACACCGACCTTCTCACCCCAGTCTTCCTGTGCCAATGTTCGTATATCGCAGCACACCCGCACATAGCCGCACGTAGTTGGCACTGGAGGGTCAAACTTGTTCAGTGGTTGGCCTGGGAATATGTCTTCCGCGATTACTGAGGACACTGGGCGCGGAGAGGGAGGAATAGAAGAAGCGACGAAAGCCAAGGGCCGTATAGGCCCCGTAGAAGTGGCTCTTTCACGCGCTCAGTGCCCCCCTCCCCAAAGAAAAGGGTGGAGGGGGATGAGGGCGAGATGAAGGAGTTTCGGCGGCGAGCGAGGGGGGGGGGAGGTGCGAAGGAGACGGCCTTCTCAGAAGGCGGCGGGACTTCCCGGAAGCACCCTGGCCTTGCGAGAAGTTTCCTTTGTTTTGGGGAAGGCTTGGACGAGTTCTCCGAAGGCCGAGGGACCTCTGAGCCTTCTGAGGAGGCCCGCCCCTTCTCAGTCTCCCCCCCGCGCTCGCCGCCGAGGGTCAGTGACGCCGCCCCCCCATGAGGGGGTGGCGCGAGCGGGGCGGGCGTCCGAGAGGGCTCACGTCGGGCCTGCCCCTCATACAGGAGGAAAACTCAAAAATAGACCACACATGGTCTGGGGACGATTGTTTGACTATTTCTGAACATTTTTGGGGGTATTGCTTTTGGCATTTCTCGTCCAAGCTCCGCCTGCAGGGGGAGACACGCCCGACCCAAGAGAGAGGGAGCGGGAGCGGGGGGCTTCTTCAGAAGGCAGGGGGGGCCTTCTTGAGAGGGGCTCCGCGGCTTCGCGCGAGGCCTCCTGGAAGCCAGGAGGGCTCCCGAGAAGCCAGGGGGGGGCTCCCTTGAAGCAGAGGTCGACCTACTCCAAATCCCCTATTTCTCGACCCGCCCCCAAAAAGCCGGACCCCCTTCCAAATGCGATTCTGGACCCCCCGCTTCGACGGGGCGCCTCAAGGACCCGGACCCCTAAGCTCCAATCCAAAGCAAGGGCCCCAATAAATTGGATCCCCCCCAGTTACAAAAAGGCGCCTTAAAAGACCTGGCCCAACCCTGACTCTGGATCCGCCCTACTTTGCGTCGGAAATCCACTTATATGAGGCCGAAAAAGTAGGGCGGAAATTCCTGCACCCAGCATAAAGTAGGGCGGAAATCCACAGAAGTAGGGCAGAAACAGCAGCAGAAAAGTAGGGCGGAAATTGGCATCAGCGGGGCTTGAAAAGTAAGGCGGAAATTCCAAACCCTGCTTACGAATTTCCCCAAAGTAGGGCGGATCCGGAGTCAGGGAGGGGACGATGCATAAGGGCTTTGGAGTAGGCGGTGCTTCGCCGATTGTTGTGGGCCGCTCCCGTCTCGACCGCGTGCTGCAGCAGGGGCGGAGCGGAGACAGCGCGAGCGAGAGCGAACACGAGCGACACCGACGCAGTCCGCTGATGTCGAGCGGCGTTGCGCAAGCGATCAAGACATCGCTCGGTCAGGGTGCCCTGGGCTTCTCCGTTTGCAGCCGAGGTGTCAGTGACCCAGCCTCGGATCACGAAGCCTCGGCGGATTTCATGGTCGGGTGCCTTGCGGCTGGCTTCGAACGCATTGCGGTCGGACCGAGGTCTAAGATCGAGGCCGTTTCGGGGAGGGCATACCCTAATGTTCTCCGTGTCTGTTGGATACTTGTGTGCATCCCGAAGTAGGGTACCCTCGAGTGATCTCATGACTGGGGGTGTTTTGGCCGGCGGAGGGTCTCATGTGTTCGAAGCACATTTTCTCGTGCCCCTGGTCCGATCGTAATTTCCACTTTCGAGGTTCTCAGTCGTGGGAAACAAGGCAGCTTCTCAACACAGATGGCAACACCCCACAGCATGGCTCGACGTTGCTACTGGGACTCTTGATATCCCACTCGAAAGTTATGCCTAGAGGTGCAGCGGTGTGAAGCAGGTGCACGGAGGACGGTTCTTTCTCAGGAAGGGGCTCTCGTTGGACACCTCCTTTCAGGAGGGAGAAAACATACAGACACAATTAATCGCCGACTCTCAGAAGAATATGCAAGAATATGGGAAGTGGGGGGAAGACAAAACGCCCCCCAAAAATATGAACATATGGGGAATGTTTTATTTGTGTATATTTATTTGTGTGTCCTGGGGCCCCTTCAACTTCCTTGAACGTCCCGAGCATGCCTCTTCGGCTCCCGTTCCAGGCGGGGCCTTTGCCCGAGTGGCGGTACTGTGGACCGCAGAGGGTGGTGGAAAGAGGGATGCCCGCACGGTCTTGCGCGGAGGGGACCTGAAAAGAGAGGGTAGATTTCCTCATCGTGGGTGCGTGTTCCTCTGGTCCTCATTGGGGTAGGTCGTCCACGACGAGCTCACACATAGGGGTCAGACAACAGCTGTTCACAGAGCTCGCACACAATACATTTTTCGCTGGGCGTCAAGATCTCACTGCTCCGACCCGTGGTCAGAGTTCTCGTCCAAACCATCTCTCCCCCTTCTCCTCCTTCTCCTCCTGCCCCTCTCCCTTCTCTCCCTCTCTGCTCGTCCCTCTCTGCTTCAAGGGAGGAGAAATCATCTGGACCGGACAACTGGCATTCACCAGGCGGCCCTGGGCGTTTACTGAAAGCCCTGCTCCTTCGGTTCCTTCCCTGGGTGCGTTTATATACTAAACGGCCTCGCTTGTCGGGGTGGTTATTATGGGGGTGGATTTTTTGACCTCTACTCCTGGTCATCTCCCCTCTCTGCCTCTCTGCTCGTCCCTCTCTCCTCCCCTTCTCCCTCTGTCTGCCTCCGCTGTTCTTCCCTCCGATGCCGCGGCGGCCGTCCCAGCCGACGGCCCGCCCGCGCGCGCGCGGAGTGGAGGCCCTCGCCACGGCGCAGGCACTGCGGGACAAGCAGCTGCAGGCCCGGGGGGCACCAGGGAAGCTTGAGATTTTGGCGGCCCTTGGGCGGTGGAGGAGGGAGGAGGGATACCCCGTCGAGCAGTGACAAAAATCACGACGGGAGGTTTTTCGCTATTCTCGGCTCCTGGGGTCCCTTACCGGGCCTCGGGACCATCAAAACACGATTCAGGATGACAAACCGGTCCTGAGGAATAGGTCGAAACCTCGGGGGGTCGACGTAATGAACAAAATCATGACGTCGGGGGTCTGGGGAGGGAGACCGATACGGGGGGAGGGGAAAGGGGGAGGGGAGGGAGGAATCGGAAGAGAGGGATGACGAGGGCAGTGGTGGAGGAGTAGGAGGAGGAGGAGGAGGAGGAGGAGGAGGAGGAGGAGGAGGAGGAGGAGGAGGAGGAGGAGGAGGATAGCGCGCAGGGGGGAGGGAGCAAGGAGGGGGCCGTCAGGAAGGGGAGGAGGAGGACCAGGGGGAGCAGGGAGCAGGAGTTGGGAGGGGGAGCAGGAGCAGGAGCGAGGCGAAGCAGGAGCGGTCGGGGGGGAGGGGGGGGGGGCGTGGAAGGAGGGGGGGGGGGGGGAGGAGGAGGAGGAGGAGGAGGAGGAGGAGGAGGAGGAGGAGGGAGGAGGAGGAGGAGGAGGAGGAGGAGGGCGCGGGGCGAGGGGAGGAGGAGAGGGGATTCAAGGAGGAGCTGCGGGGCCAGGAGAGATATTATGAGGAAGGTGGAGGTGGAGGAGGAGCAGAGGGAAGGAGGAAGAGGCGGTCTCCCCCTCCCCGCCCCGAGCTGGGGAGCCGGCTCACGCGGCGGCCGGCCTGAGCCGACGACCGGGCACGGCCCCCGACAGGGTCCGGGAGCGCAGGCAGCGGGCACATCATAGACATTTTCTCGGTTCCAGCTCAGCAGTCAAGCAAGGAAAACGTTCGTGCTGGATCTGATCCAGGTAATCTTAAGTCGGGCCTCTTCCTCTACAAGAGGAATATTCAAAAATAGTAAACAAATAGTCGGGGGACGATTGTTCGATTATTTTCTGTTATTTTTTCGAGCATGTTTGGAGTTTTTCTTATTTTTCGCCCAGAATCCGCCTGTAGGGGACAGGCCCGACCTAAAGGTAATCTGGTGGTCACTAGATGCAGTCTCTGGCGTGAGCAGGCAGTGACGCGGCAAGATGCACGTGCCACAGGACACAGCTGGAGTCCAGCCGAGGTGGCTGGAGGGAGGTCGAGAGCAGTCCCAGGGAGCGCGTTGCTGAGGATGCAGCTCCTGGGGAGCTAAGGTTAAGTCGGGCGTGTCCCTCTACAGAGGGATATACAAAAATAGTAAACAATAGTATGGGTACGTTGTTTTGTGACTATGTTTGACTATATATATATATATATATATATATATATACATACACATGTATTCCTATTCTCATATTTTTATTACCCGGACCCACCCCACCCCATCCCCCCCCCAGACCCCCCCCCCTAAACCGGATCCTTCCCCCAGGGACGCTCCGGACGCCCTTTCGGACGTTTCGGCGGCTCCCTGGACGCCCTTGGAAAAGGTTCGGTGCCCTTCCGGGCCTCCCAGGGCGCCTCGCTGGGCCTTGCGAGCCGACTGAAGGCGATTAGAGGGGTCGTCGGAGAGGCGCAAGAGAGACCCAAGACAGCGCAAGAGCGCTCCAAGAGGAACCTCGATGGTCTGAAGACGGCCCAAGAGGCTCCCAAGACACCCCAAGAGGCCGTTAAGAGAGCCCCAGTCCCTCAGGAAATACATTTGTTGTGCATATCCGCTTTTGGGGCCTTCGCAGCGTCCAAGACGGCCCAATGGGCCCCCAATCTCGCCCCAAGACGGCCCAGGAGGCCCCCTAGAGGGGTTGAAGGCGGCCCAAGGGGGCCCCAAGACTGCCCCAGAGAGCCCCGAGACTGCCCACAAGAAGCCCAAGATGCCCCCAGAAGGGTCCCAAGAGAGACCCACGACAGCAATGGGATACCTCCAAGAACGCCACTGGAGGCCCGCAAGAGGGCCCTAGATGGCTTCAGAAGACCTCTGGAGGGGCCCCAGCTCCCCAAGGCGGCCCAAGAAGCCCCCTGGACGGCCCAAGAGTGCCCCAGGACGGCACAAAAGAGCACCAAAAACGACCAGACGGCGTTCTCCTACGAAATACATCAAGCTGACCCGACGATCTTTGTTCCACGTTTGAGGCTCGAGGTTTCAGTAGCTACCCGATCGAGAGAGACAGGCAATGGATCTAGATTCGAAATTCGACGATCGAAGATTTCCTGAGTGCCTGGAGCCCTCCAGGCATTCGGGAAGCGATCAAAAATCGATGTGTTCGGAGCTACTGTGACTTCTTCGGCGTGTCATGGGAACGCCCCTTACTTCCTCAAAGGACCTTCGCGCGCGAAAAATTCAGTATGATTTCCCCACTCCTGCGCACAAGCGTGCCAGCGCATCGTCCGAAAGCGGTGTCAGCAGGCACCCGGGATATCGGAAAAATGGGCGGGTCGCCCGTCCAGGCCTCGAGGTCCTCCCTGCTGAAGAGAGCGATGATTTATTGCTTCGCCAGGGAAGCGTCCGGAACAAGGCGCATGGCGCGAAGCGCCAATGCAGTCTTATATATATATATATATATATGTATATCTATATATATATACATATGTACATATATATAATGTACATATATATATATGCATTTATATAGGAATATGTATATAAATATACATGTATGTCTATATATATATATATATATATATATATGTGTGTGTATATATATATTATATATATTCCTATTCTTATATTTTTATCACCCGGACCCCCCCCCCCGACCCCCCCCCTAAACCGGATCTTTTCCCCAGGGACGCTCCGGACGCCCTTTCGGACGTTTCGGCGGCCCCCTGGACGCCCCTGAACATATATATATATATATATATATATATGTATGTTTGTGTATCTATATCTATATATATAGTTATCTCAGGCTCGACCTCAGGCTAAAGTCTGCACCGGCGCTGGGAAGTCCGTGGTCGAAAACCGGCTCACTCCCGCACAATCCCGTAGCATTCCGCCGTGTCCCGCTTGATTCCGTCCAGTCCTTCTTCGTCCGAGGTTCATTCTGGGCTTCTCAGGCACGACGGCCTTTGAATCGAGCACGGGCAGTCGCTCTCAACCGTTTTTGCGACGGCCTCCCAGATGATGTTGCCTCTCCATAGATCGAAGGAGATAAAACAAACGCCACAAACATAAACTTTTGGCGCTCTGCGCGGGTTTCTTGGATCTGCGCTGGGGACCCCCCCTCCCTGCGCTGGGGACCCCCCCTCCCTGGCGCGCGGAGCGCGCTAGGGGCGGCGCCAGAGGCGCCGCCGGAGGGGCCCAGCGCGGGATCGGCGGAGGGGCCCAGCGCTGGGCCAGCCGGAGGGGCCCAGCGCGCTGGGCCCCTCCGGCGGCGCCTCTGGCGCCGCCCCTAGCGCGCTCCGCGCGCCAGGGAGGGGGGGTCCCCAGCGCAGATCCAAGAAATCCGCGCGGAGCGCCAAACGTTTATGCTTGTGGCGTTTCCTTTTTCTCGTAGAGGGAAGGCGAAGGAGGGCCGCGGAAGCGCGCAGCCGAGCACGCCGCGGGGAGGCCTGTCCGCGAGGGGCCAGGGGTGAACGCGGCCGCGCGGGGCCGCGGGCGTGCCCTCAGGCATTCCACGGCATGGAGCTGGACAGCATCCAGGCCCTCGAGCAGCTGAAGGCCTTCTCGGGGAAGGGGGGGTGGGGCACCATGGCCGCGCCGCAGCCCGCTGGTTGGCCTTCGAGGGCCAAAAGTACGTTTTCGTTTTCCGTCCTCGTCCTCTTCCCTCTGCCAGTCCTCCCTCGCCCCCGTTCTCCATCCTTTCCTCCCTCCCTTCGCCGCCCTCCCCCCCCCCGCGCTGCCGCTCGCTGGTGCCGTCGAGACAGCGCTTGACGTACACGTTGCTCGCCCTCTTGCCCAGGGGCATGCCAGGACCTGGCATCGCTCGGACGTGTGCATGTCTTCTTCGGCGAGGAGCATTGAGGAGCATCTGGGATCACCTTGCGAAAAATGCACGCACGAATTCGACAAATGCACGGGGAATGGATGTTTGAGCGGGGGCGAGAGGACGTGCGGTCTCTGCGGGCAGCGCCTCTCTCCCAGCTCCGATTCAATGCAGTAGATGCGTCCAACAAAAAACAAGCCTGCCAGCAGCTGGCCCACGGGCAGTTCTTGTCCCACGAGGGGCCCAGGACTCAGAGACGCCCTGAGACTCCGAATGGAGTCCAAGGATCAACGAAGAACGTGCCCTTTAGCTTTCTCACGGGAAGATGTCTCAGCACATGAGGCGTTCCAAAAATGGCGTTGCCTTCGAGGATCGGAGGAGTTGTCATCTCTTCCGCCGCGGAAGGCGGCGGAAGGTCGGCGGACGTAAACTGCGGCCGCCTCCGCCGGCGAAAGCCAGCGGCGGACGGCCAGCGGAAGGCGGCAGTAGTAAAGATGCGCACCCAAGAGATGAAAACGTGGTTGGGTTCAGGGTTTCCGACATCCGCCAAATGTGCATGCTGTGGTGCTCATGTCCGCAGTCGCTGCCCCTCCCCGCCGTCACCCCGCGCCGAGCCCGCGGCTCGAGCGCCCTGCTGGCGGCGGGGGGCGCCCCGATGCGGGCCCCCCGGGAGCGGCCGTCGCCGGACGAGCAGTGCGCGGAGGAGCTGCGGGCGGCGGCCCAGAAGCATGGGGAGGCCGTCGGGGGGGGGGGGGAGGGGGGCGTCAACCACTCGATCGTCTCCCTGGTCGGAGACCTGCTCCTCGTCCACCTTTTCTCCCCTTTCTCTTCTCTCCCTCCGCTCAGCCGTTCTGGCACAGGCGCGCCCGTGCTTGCAAGCGCGTGCTTCAGAGCGGCTCGTGCTAGCGAGCCAATCGGCAGTTCTTGCACGTTTGCACCTTCCGCCGTCCCGGAAGGCGGCCGATGGTGGTGCCATGGCCCGATGTCCTGCCAGGAGTCAAAACCCCCTACTTGCGGATGCGGCTGCTGGGACAATTCTTCACGGATCACGCGCAGGAGGTGCAGCAAGGCAGCGCCGCACCGCGTCGTCGTCTCGGCCCGGAGGCAGCGGCGCAGGTGCAGGCCCCGTCGGTCTCCACCATGCCCCGAGGTCCCAAGGGGTGCTTGCGCCAACGGGCCGCTGCTGTCCGGCCAGCTGCGCGTCCATCCGGGAGCTGCGGGTGCAGGTGGCCGGGCTCAAGGGCGAGCCAGCGCCGTCAACGCCGCCGTTGTGCCGAGGCCAGTCCCTTGCGCCAGGGGGCGGCAACGGCGGCTCCCAGGGCGGCGGCAGTGGGGGCTCCAGCTGGAGCAACAAGCAGGCTACGACAGGCAGCAGGTTCAAGGATGTTGTCGCCTGCGTGTCCAAGGCGGGGCTCGACACCACCAGCGTGAAGGCGGCCAAGCAGCGCAGTTCGCAGAGGCTGGCGAGGCCAAGCAGCCGACGGCCCAGCAGGCGCAGCGCTGGCGAGTCGAGAACCTCCGCATGAAGGTCATCAAGTTGGAAGGTCGGGCCTCCGCGATGGAGGAGAAGAACACGGCCCTTGACAAGTAGCTCGAAGAGCTCAAGTAGACGCTCGTTGCGGAGCGCAAAAAGCACGAGGCGGACGAGGCCACGCTCGTCAAGCTCCAGGCCGGCGAATTCGGCGATCCTCTCAAGGCCGTCAACGCGGGTTTGGACGAGGATTTGTTGGCGGACTAGCAAGAAAAAGACTCCCTCGCGGTCCTGGCCCGGCCCCAAGGCGAGGCCAATGCGCGGCGCAGTGCCGCTACGGTCCCTCCTGCGGCTTGTGCTGCTCCACCTGGTGCCGTTGCTGGCGGGGCCGCCCCAAGGCGGAGCTGCAGTACCAGCAGTCGACGGAGATGTAGACGACATCGACATGGACCTGCTCGGTGGAAAAGACTTCGAACAGAAGCAGGCCAATTTCAACACTGGTGCGGTTGAGCTCAGAGCCGCGTCTTCCGAGCAACATGAGGCAGCGACACGGAAGGTTGCCCAAGCCAGGGCAGCCTTGGGGATCAAGAGAGTGCGTCTGCTTCAACAGCACCCCACCCGGATGCACATGGCCTCGAACCTGGAATACCAGGCGCTGTGGGAAGCGGATGCTGCCGATGACGCATGGCACGCGGTAGTTACGGCCAGATCTTACCTTTTGACAGTGCGTGGTTCGACTCAAAGTTCACGCCGTCCAGCGTGGCGAACCCGACGGCACACGTGGCACAGGGGGCCGATGGGGCTGCCGTTGAGGCTGCTGGTCGCGCTGCTGGCTCGCCGTGGCTGGATGCGCAGTTTTGGTCGGTTCCCAGACGTTGCGCTTGGATGGGCTTATGGGCGCTGCACCTCCTCGCCGAGAGGAGCACCTACAGGGGCAGGGGCAAGTGGCGGACCAGGAGCACCAGGAGGCAGTGTAGGAGGAGGAGGAGGAGGAGGAGGAGGAGGAGGAGGAGGAGGAGGAGGAGGAGGAGGAGGAGGAGGAGGAGGATGCGTCGCTCCTCCGCAGGCCGCTGGGGCCGCCGCCGGGGCTGCTGCTCGCGGTGCTTGCTCGCCATTGCGCTGCGCCTCCCCACCCGGAGGAGGAGCTGCGAGCTTGTCGTCAGGGTCGGCCTCGAGGCCACGGGCAAGAGGCCCGGATCCCAGTTCCTATCGCGACGCCTCTCGAATGGGTGCGGCGCAGATTCCCGCGGCGGGGCCCCTGTGCATGCTGGATGGGGAGTTCGCCTTCACGACTGCCAATACGTCTCAGTGGTCATCGGCGCAGACGCTGATGGAGTGGACGCGGCATGACGCGTCGGACGTGAGCTTGCCGCAGGTGTCGTGCGTGCAGGAGTCGTGGTCCTCGGCTGCCTGGTGGTCTCGTCAATGGGGCTACGAGCTGATCGGTGACTTCGCGGAGGCCACTGGGGATGGACCGCTGGAGCACGGTGGCGAAGTTGCTGCGTCGTCGAGCTTCCCAGCTTCGAATGAGACCAGCCCTGCGCGTATTCAGCTGCGGGGACACTGCGCTGTGACGGCGAAGGTTAGCGTTGGCCTTCCCATTCCTCTCCATGCCATCTCGCTTGACCTCGCGACGTCTATGGGTCTGGCGAAGGCTCTCATCACCATCGTGGCATCCCTGCGTTCCTTCCTAGACAGCGCAAAAGCCGTGGGTGGTGTTTGCAGACTGGGTCCTCCTCCCCAGCGATGTGGGCACCTGGCTTCGGCGAGCTCGTGGTGCTTGCTTGCGTTCGCGAGAGCCAGGGTGCCAGGGATCTACTTTTATGTCGGGCGCGGCCCCCTTACAAGAGGATTTTTGTTCACGAAAAAATACACCAAACATACCCCGAAAAGGCCAAAAGATATTCCAAAAATAGTCCCCAGACTATGTTTGATTATTTTTATATGTTTTTTGCGCATTTTTTTATTTTTCGCCGAAAATCCCCCTGTATGGGGGACAGGCCCGACGTAACTCTACTTCGGCGCCTGCAGCTGGGTGCTGGCCAACTTTGCCTCCGTGGCGCGCGCGCGGCCGGCTGCTCCTGCTCAAATGCGCAGTGCGCCTCTGGCGTCGTCCAACGGCTGGAGTGCGCAAGCCGCCGTCGCGAAGCCAGAAAGGCCCATGTTTTTTTCCCATGGCCACGCTTCTTCCTCCAGGAGGGAAAAAACACAGAAACAATTAATCGTCGATCCCCCAGAAAATATAGGAAAATATGGGAAGTGGGGGGAAGACAAAAACATAGAAAATATTGGAAAATATGGGGAATCGGTTTATTTTGTGTGTATTTGTTCGTGTGTCCTGGGGCCCGTTCATTCCTGTCCGCGCGGCGGTTCGGGAGGTGAGCGGCGTCGGGGTCGGCGGCGCGGTCGCGGCGCCGGTTCCAAGATATTGCCGCGGAGAGACTTGCCGCTTGCTGGCGAGGGCCCCGGCGGCAGAACACCTCTTCTGAGTGCAGGGCTTGGCCCAGGTTTCTCGGGTCGGGCGAAAGGGGGGGTTGGGAAAGGGGGGGTTGCGAAATTTGCTGCATGCATCTGGTTTCGGCCTCACCAAGGGGCCCATTCCTCGATACATAGCCGCTTCTGGCGCCGGGAGGCGCCGGGAAAATCAGCTACGTTAGCTGATTATCGAACCCCCCCTTTTGCTATCCCCCCCTTTCGCCCGACCCGGGTCTCGCTCGGCTGATGTTCGCCCGGTTCCCCCAGGGCCCGCTCCCAGAGAACGACGCGCCTATAGGGCGGCCGCCCCCCGTGACCGCCTCCTTCCAGCGCGACTGCTCCTCCTCCTCCTCCTCCTCCTCCTCCTCCTCCTCCTCCCTCCTCCTCCTCCTCCTCCTCCTCCTCCTCCTCCTCTCCTCCTCCTCCTCCTCCTCCTCCTCCTCCCTCCTCCTCCTCCTCCTCCTCCTCCTCCTCCTCCTCCTCCTCCTCCTCCTCCTCCTCCTCCTCCTCCTCGCCGCCCAGAGGGCCGCTCATGGACGGGGCCGGCCCTTCCCCGCCTGAGCTTGTGGAGACTCCTTCGTCCAGGGCCGCGGAGCGCATCCAGGTCGCTTCCCAGACCCTCTCGAGTTATGAAAAAATCACGACGGGAAGTTGTTCAAGATTTTCGGCCCCTGGGGGCCCTTACCGGGCCTCGGGACCGTCAAAAAACGACTCGGGATGACGAACCGGTCTCAGGGGAATGGGTTCAGACCTCTGGGGGTCGACGTTATGAAAAATTCACGACGTCGGGGGTCTGGCTTCCCGTTCGTCGATGGACGCGCGCAGTCATCTCGAGCAGCTTCGCAGTGAGCGGGAGGAGCTCCAGGGCCTGGGAGGACCGGGCCCGGGCTGCCTCCCGGGGCCGCGGGGCCAGCGCCGCCCTATAGAGTCTGCGCGCGAGTCGGTGGAGCCGTCGCGGGCCATGACTGCTTGCGATGGAGCCACTGCCCGCGTCGGGCTTCTAGGCGCCGACCCGGATCGCGCAAGACTCGGGGCCGCTCGCGGCCCCGCGCCTCGCCGCGAGGGCGAGCGGCGCCCGGCGCCGCGGGCCCCCGACGCGACGCGCGCGTAAGGCCGACAAGGAGATGAGCTCTGGCGGGCTGCCTCCGCCGGCGCCGCCGGGGGTCAGCCGTCCCTGGGTCCTCGCAGCGGAGCAGCGTGAGCATGTCCTTGGGACGTGTCCGTCGTCGGCTGGACTCGGGTGGGATGAGCTGCGCCTGCGGCATCGGTCGCGGCTGCCCTCGTCGCATCCGAGGGACTTCCCGGACACTTTTGTTGCCTGGGGGCTCTTTCCTCGGTCGGTTGACCAGCGGCTGCGCTTGGTCCATGTCAGTGTCAGTGGCAAGCCTAAGCCCCCAGGAGGTGTCCGACCCATTGCCCTCATCCCATCGTGGTGTCGTGCGTGGTCGAGGCTTCGTCAGCCTGGCGCTCGTTGCTGGGGGCGCTCTCTGGAGAATCCAGCCTTCTGGGGCGATGCTGGGCACGCGCGTGATCGCGTGCTTCTTTGCAGCGCTTCGCGCAGCTGAACATATTTTTAGGCCGCGAGCGGAGTTATTCCCGCGCGATGAACTACAGCGAGTGGCCGTTCGCGCGGGCTTCCCGCTGCAGCTGCACAAGCGCCTATGCGCGGTGCGCCGTCTACCTCGGCGGGCCGTCTGGGAGGGGGCAGTCTCACTTCTTATTGGAGCTAATGGTGCAGTTGCTGCTGGGTGCTCGTGTGCCATGGGGCTAGCGAAGCCGCTTGTTCGCGCTCTCATCGTGAAGCTTCAGAGGCAATTTACCGGGGTCTGCATCCAAACTCTCGCGGATGATTTGTTGTTGTTGCAGGCGATTGGGGCCCCTGCCAACGTGGTCATCCAGTTTCCTGGCTCCGCGATGAGCCCGGTCTGAGGCCTGGAGGCGAATCAGCTGCGTGGTAACTCGGACAAGGCCGGATCCCTGTCAAGCTCGACGCAGCCATCTCATGCGTTGTCTGCCAGATGGAGCCTCGAGGACGAGGGCCGCCCGGCAGGCGCGAGATGCTTGGACGCCGATGCGAATGGCGACTCTGCGCGGCGCGCAGGCGAGCAGGACAAGCAACTTCCGGTAGCCAAGCGCGTCACAGCCAAGGTAATTCAGCTTGGAGGAGCCAGAGCGCATGTGAGCACAGCGATAAGGGGGTCTCCTGCGGCGACGGCGATTTGGCGATCTTGACCTGCACGGACTCCGGGCCTCATTCTTGCGAGCCGAAGGCCGCCAGACTGCGCGTGCATCTGTCGGCTCGCGCTTGCGAGCTTCGCCGCGCGGTGCCGTCCGCGACCCGCTGAGAGTCCGCGCCGTCGAGGTCATGCAACGCTGGGCCCTGGCGGCCATCTCGGCCTCTCCTGGCCGCGGGTCTTCGGAGGCTGGCTGGTCTGCCGGTCTGTCTCTTTGGCCCGGCCCCGTCCTTGGGCTCGGTGCGCGGGCCCAGCGCAGGCGGCGCTGATAAGTTCTGCCCGCGCGGGAATTTCGATGCCTTGGGCTTTCAGTCTTGCGGGGCGCTCCCTGGAGGGCAGGAATTGTGTGAGAGGTGTGTCGAAGTCAGCAGGGCGACGCCATGCGAGCGCAACCACTGAGGCATTCGGTGGAGCTCCCTGGCGGGGCTGACAATCTGTGAGGGGTGTGCCGACATGGGCGGGGCAGCGCCATGCGAACGCTCCGATTGGTGCCGTCGGTGGAGCTCTCCGGGGAGGGGGTGTGCCGAGATGGGCGGGGGCGACGCCATGCGAGCGCGGGTGGCAGGCGGAGCCCCCTGGGGGGGGCTCCGGGGGGGAGGCCACTGGGGCCCTCGGTGGAGGCTCCCGGGAACGGCACCGGGGCCCTCGGTGGAGCTCCCTGGGGGGCAAGGTAAAGCGAAGGGATGTGCCGAAATGTGCTGGGCGACTCCATGCGAACGCACCCACTGAGGCCCTCGGGGGGGCATCCTGTGGGACAGGGAATGTTTGAGGGGAGTGCCGAAATGGGCGGGGCGACGCCATGCGAACGCACTCATTGAGGCCCTCGGTGGAGCTCCCTGGGGGATCAGGAAGCTTGTGAGGGGTGTGCCGAAATGGGCTGGGCGACGCCATGCGAACACAGGCCTACGGGTCCTCGGTGGAGCTCTTCGGGGGGGCACAGCATGTGAGGGTTGTGCCGAAATCAGCGAAAGCACCCATTGAGGCCATCGGGGGAGCTCTCTGTATTGGCAAGGAACATGTGAGCGGTGTGCCCAGATGGGCGGGGCGACGACATGCGAACGCACCCATTGAGGCCCTCGGTGGAGCTCCCTGCAAGGCGGGACAAACATGAGGGGTGTGCCGAAATGGGCTGGGCGACGCCATGCAAACGCACCCACTGAGGCCATCGACGGAGCTCACGCTCCCTGGGGGGGGGCAGGAAATGTGTGAGGGGTGTATCGAGACAAAGAGCGTGAGGGGTGTAACGAAAGTGGCCAGGGCAGCAAGAGGAGGAGAGAGACGAGGAGGAAGAGGAAGAGAAGTGAGGAGGAGAGGCGATGAGGGGGAGGAAGATTGAGGAGGAGGGGGAAGAGGAGGAGAGGAGTGGACGCGCGGCGCTGCGCACTCAGAACGAGGGCCCAGCACGCAGGCAGGTCGGGAAACATCGGTGCGTGTCTGGAGTTCAGGACGGGGCCCCTGCTCGGTGATGCCTGACGTCCCTCGTCGGGTCAGGCGCCGGCTCGGGATTGGCCCTGGGACGTGCCCCGTTGGCGTCGGCGTCGGGCGCGGAGGGGCTCTTCGCGTCGGCGAGCAGCCTGGGGCCACTGCGCGCGGCGGCGCGGGGACCACCGCGTGTCGCGTTCCGCTCTGCCCGGGCCGCAGGGTTCTGCTCTCTTCCTCGGGGAGGCGGCGGCCCGAGAGCGCGGCGAGGCCTGGCGAGCTCGCGCCCGCGCGAAGACATAGCACAGGCCCAGTGTTGAGTCGGGCGTGTCCCTCTGCAGGGGGAATGCTCAAACATGCTCCAGGAATCATACGGGTACGATTTGTTGGGCGTTGTCTTGCTATTTGCTTATGTCTGTTTGGGCGGTTTGCATGGTTCGTCCAGGATCCCCCTATAGGGGGACACGCCCGACCTAAACTTGGTGTCCTTGAGCTCCAAAAGAATATCTTGGATCGGCGCCTGGGCCCCCGTGGCTGCGCCTGCGGCGCCGCCCCCGGCGCGCTCCGCGCGCCAGCGCCGATCCAAGAGATCCGCGCGGGTTTCCCAAAATTGTTGTTGTTTACGTCGTCTGCGGTTTCTCCAGGAGCGCGCAGACAGGTGGCATGTTGAAATCGGCATCGGCACGAGTGCCGTGCAGTCCCGAGCAATCCCGCAGAATCTGGGCTACTCCGACTTAGTCTCAGCATCGCTTAGTGAATCCCCATCCCCACCGGGCCATGGTATCTCAGCCCCACCATCCCACCCACCAGTCGGGGCTAAGCCCTTCGAAACCAGAAGGGACCAGCCCATATCCTATGTCCCCATCTAGGGGGGTAACTCGGCCGGTGGGGGCCGAGGCCATGCCAGTGGGAACGGGGATCGATTCAACGACGCTCATAATCCGAGGCTTCAGTAGTCTGGGCAGATCTGGTAACTCAGGACCCCTTTATCGGGCGTGATGCGTCTTGATCTTTCTCCCGCGAATGCTTTCCAAAAGCTACCTCCTAAGAGTACAGTGCTTCGGGGGGTAGCTTGACTGGTGGTCCTCCGAGGCCATGAGGCGGGTCCAGAAGCAGCACCGCGAGCTGCCCCAGGCCGCGCTGAAGGGCGACGACGACTTCTGGCGACAGGCCGTGCTAGAGGACTCGGGGGGCAGTCGGATGGGTGGTGGCAGCCCCACGCATCAGAGAAGCAAGCCCCGAGCAGAGCGCCACGGCCGCGACGACGCCGACGGCGGCGGCGAAGACGAAGCGCGCAGGCGATGGGCACCGAAGCACGGATTTGGGGGGCAGGGCCCACCCTGCAGCTTCGGTGAGAAGCAGATCGTTGAGCGGTGCTGCAGCCTCCGACGAGCTTAGACCACCCCCGCCAGAGCATCAGCCAGACGACGGGCTTGCACGCTCGTGCGTGGCTGGACTCTGGGTGCGCTTCGGCACTGCCACCACCGCCGGCACCCCGCCGTCAGGGTCACCGACTCGGGTGACGGCCACAGCGACAGTGGCAGTAGCCGACGCGTCCCCCGGCTAAGAAGCTCCACGCGTCGCGGCTCGAAGGGCCGAGAGAACAGACAAACGGACGGGCGGACAGCCAGGCCGGCGTGCAGTGCTCGGCAAGCCCCAGGGAAACACGTCCCCAGCAGAGCAGCACGCACCACGACCACGACGCCGCCGCCGACGACGAGGCGCAGACGACCCGCACCGAAACACGGATTTGGGAAAGGGCCCGCCATGTAGATTTAAGTCGGGCCTGTCCCTCTACAGGGGGAATACTCAAAAATAGTAAAGACATAGTCTGGGGGCTATGTTTGGGGTATGTTTGGGCATCTTTTGAATATTGTTTGAGTATTTTTTATGTTTCGTCCAGAATCCCCCTGTAGGGGGACATGCCTCTCATAAATGCAGATTCGGTGAGACAGCAACTGGTTGAGTGGTGTTGCAGCCCGCCTCTGAGCACAGGCCTTCCCAGAGCATCAGCCCGACAGGCCGAGTTCGGGTTTGCATCCCCATGCCTTGCTGGCCTGAGCGCGTTTCGGCACTGCACAGCCAACCCCTCGTTAGGGCCACCGACCGACTCTGGCGACGGCGACGGCGACAGAGGCGGTGGCCGACGCGTCCCAAAGCCAAGTGGGTTCACGCGCCGCGGCTCTGAAAACAGACGGACGAACGGACGAACGAGTGGACAGCCAAGCGACGCGCAACGCTTGGCAAGCCAAGTAGGTGGCTCTTGTATCAGGGAGCCGGCCAGAGCAACACGCACCACGACCGCGACGACGCCGTCAACGAGGACGGAGACGACAGGTGCGGAATATGAGCACCGAAGCGTGGATTTCGGAAAACAAAAAACCTTCCATGCTCGGTCACGCAGCACACTGTAGAGCGGTGTTCCTGCCTTTCTTGCACACAGCCCCCCCCCCCCAGAGCACTAGCCAGAACCAGGGTTTGTATCCCCATGCTCTGCTGGACTATGGGCGCGCTGTGACGCTGCCACTGCCGCCGTCGCCAGGGCCACCGACTTGGGTGACGGCGACGGCAACGGTGGCGCTGGCCGCCGCGTCACGGAGCTAAGAGGTTGTACGCGTTGCGGTTCAGAGAGCCCGGAAGACGGAGGAAAGTACGGACAGCCAGGCGACGTGCAATGCTTGTCAAGCCAAGTTGGTTGCCCTTGCATCAGGGAAACAAGTCCTGAGCATAGCAACGCGCACCACGACGACGATGACGACGGAGAAGAAGTGCGAATCGAGTGCGGATGAGGAGGGGGAACGAAATTGGTCGAGGAGGACGAAACACGATGACCATGACCAACATGTTACCGGATCTTGCCGACTCCGGTGTTGGTCATGGTCCATGCCGGGCCTCACCGATTCGCGAGGATGATCCACGAGTTGGCGTTGACCAAGGTGGACGTTGATGAAGATTGAAACGACGCGTTCGCGCGCAATCTTGGTCATGGTCCCACTTCTCTTAGCCTCCAGGCGGGGAGGATGGCGAGGGATGGAGCACCATCGCTGCACCCTACCCCCTCGCATTGTCTCGAATTGCAACTGTAGGCGATCACGGACTTACGCGCTTACAGTCAAGACATTGAAATAAGGACCAACTGGGGCTTCGAAGGGGTTCTGGTTTTCGGCCCGCTCCTTAGATTTCGGGTTTGGAGTATATACGCTGCCGAGGCTTGCCTTTGCCAGGATAGATCCTTCGTTCCTTATTTGGCGTTCCTCATGGTAGCACGATCGCGCCGCCGGTTCTGGCTCCCCACGCCGCAGCGACACAAGCGAACGATGCCCCGGCGGCCGTGGTCCCCGAGCGTCAGCGTCTCGAGCTCTTCACGGCCTCCCGCCCCGCGGAGCGGAGGCACACTCTACCCGCTCGCAGGGCATCGCGTGTCTCCGGGGCCGCCGCCGCGAGACGCTGAGCCAAAGTTCTTGACCGTGGAGCGGTTCAGGATCTTCTGCCGCAAGAGTGTCGTCTCGGGCTTTCGGCGCCCTCTCCGTGCCCCAGGACCGTCAAGAAACGAGCCAGGTGGAACACTTGGCGGCGCGCGCAAGGGGGTGGCGTGAGGGGGGCGGTCTTCTAAAACGGGGGGAGGCCTTCCAAAAAGTCGAGGGGGCCTTTTCAAAACCCTCCCCGCTGTTCTGAAACCTTCTTGGAAGCCTGCGGCGCCCTCAAGAAGCTCCTCGCCCTCCTGGAAGCTCCCCCGCTGCCCCCCTTAGAGATCGCCGCCCCGCTCGAGCGCACACCCCTTGTGGACGCCGCAAGTGCGCTCGGGGAAGGCCCCGGGTGTGCAGGGCCCGCTTCCGAGGAGGGGAGCTGGGTCATCTTGGGGCCACGGGTGCTCACTGTGCCAACGGGCCAAGAGTCAGGCATCGTTTGCCTTGTCATGGGTATCTCAGGGGGGTGGGTCCCGATGGTGACAGCCAAGAGCTTAGCATGTGACCATGCACGGGCCCAGCCCCTCTCCTCGTTTGCGTCAGGGCGCCGTCTTTTCCATGCCCCTCCACGCACTGCCCCTGCTCCCAGCCACGCGCAGAGGGGGTGTAGGGGGAGGGGGGAGGCTTCTCAGAAGGAGACTGCTTCTTAGAAGGCGCGGGGCTGATCTCTCTCTCTCTCTCTCTCTCTCTCTCTCTTTCATTATCTCTCCATCTGTATATGTGTATATATATATATATATGTATAGGTGTGTGTGTGTGGGTGCGTGTGTGCGCGTGTGCGTGTGCGTGTGCCTGTGCCTGTGCGTGTGCCTGTGCGTGCGCGTGCGCGTGTGCGTGTGCGCGTGTGCGCGTGTGCGTGCGCGTGCGCGTGCGCGTGTGCGTGTGCGTGTGCGTGTGCGTGTGTGCGTGTGCGTGTGCGTGTGTGCGTGTGCGTGTGCGTGTGCGTGTGTGCGTGTGTGTGTGTGTGAGTGTGTGTGTGTGTTTGTGCGTGTGCGTGCGTGCGTGCGTGCGTGCGTGTGTGTGTGTGTGTGTGCGTGTGTGTGCGTGTGCGTGTGTGCATGTGTGCGTGTGTGTTAGTGTTTGTGTGTGATTGTCTCTGTGTGTGCGTGTGTGTGTGTGTGTTTGTGTGTGTGCGTGTGCGTGTGCGTGTGCGTGTGTGTGTGTGTCTGTGTTTGAGTCCGTGTATGTGTGTTTGTGTCTGTGTGTGCGTCTGTGTGTGTGTCTGTGTGTGTGCGCGTGTGTGTGTGTGTGTGTGCGTGTCTGTGTGTGTGTGTTTGCGCCTGTGTGTGCGTGCGTGTGCGTGTGCGTGTGCGTGTGCGTGTGCGTGTGCGTGTGCGTGTGTGTGTGTGTGTGTGCGTGTGTGCGTGTGCGTGTGCGTGTGCGTGTGCGTGCTTTTGTGAGGCCCAGTGCTCCCTCTTGCACGCCGGACAGTTCGCCTTTCGGTTGCCCCGAATAGCCACGCGCTGGTGCGGGCTGCCTCTGCCTCGTCGCCGACGAACAAAGTAAGACCCAATGCTCCGCTCTGTCGCCTGGTGCTCGCCGCCTGCCGGGTGCCGCAGCCGTGCCAGCCCACGGCAGGCCCCGACCTTCGAGGCATACCGACCTCCCGACCACGCCTTCAGGGCCGGCTTCCCATCCCGAGTCCCAGACCCCGTCGAGTAATGAAAAAATCACGACGGAAGGTTTTTCACAATTTTCGGCCCCTGGGGGCTCTTACTGGGCTTCGGGGGCGTCAAAAAGCGACTCGGGATAAAAAAAACGGTCCTGGGGAGTAAGTCGAAACATCTGGAGGTGGACGTCATGAAAAAATCATGACGTCGGGGATCTGGGGACCACGAGTTCCAGGGCTGGCTTCCCATCCCGGGTGGTAAGTCCGCGGCACCGTAACGGGTACTCACTAACCGGTATATTAGAGTTATTCCGACATCGGGAGCCTCGAGACGGGGGTCAGTGCAGACGGGGGTCAGCCAGGGCGCCAGATCCTGCAGGATCCTGCGAAGCCCCCCTCTGGCTGACCCGGGTCAGCGAGCCGCTCGTGGCCGCGAGGCGGCCGCGCATGTTGGCTGACCCGGGTTTGCGAGGATCTGCGATGCAGTTGTTTTTTCTGCATTGCAGTTTTTGGTTTCTTGCTGACCCGGGTCTGGATTGACCCGGGTCAGAAGATCCCCGACGACAGTTGCCACTTTGGGGCTTCGTTCTGGAACTGCGGCGTTGCCCTCATCGGGGAGGGTTGGGTTCGCCGGGCGACTGGCCAAAGTACCCGTTTGTGGAGTCCCCGTTGGAGGGGCGATGAGTGAGTCTCGCCATGGGGGAAGCAGGTCCTGAGGGAGACGGGTCCCAATGTTTTTGTCTTAAGTCGGGACTGTCCGTCTTCAGGAGGAATATTCGAAATTGGTCAACAAATAGTCTGGAGACGATTCTTTTACCATTCTTGACAATTTTGGAGGAGAAGTTTGTGTCAAACATGTTTTTATTTTTCGCCCACAATCCCCCTGCAGGGGGACACGCCCGACCTGATTTGTGCCGCCGTTCCCGGGCCCTCCAGGGGCCCTCCGGGGGCCCCGGGACGGTGAGAACACGGCCCAGGGCCCAGGAGGAGGACCTCGTCCTGCGGGGAAGGCCCCCCCGTCCAGGACCCCTCTCCTTCGTAACCCGCTGCCCCCACGCCTGCCAGGGCCGGCTTCTCATCCCGAGTGGCACGGTTAGGTCGGGGAAGAAAAATGAAAGATAGCGAGGAAATAGCCAACCATAGCCAGAACTCGTTGACAAATCGCCCCCGGGCTATGTTTTTACTACATTTCAATAGTTTGCAGTATTCTTTCTGTAATTAGAGGGACATGCCCGACTTAATGGTAAGGCTTCGGGCTGCGAACAGACAGCCCCCCCCAGGTATGATGGGCCTGTTTTCCACCACCACCACCACCAGCAGCAGCAGCACCACCACCACCACCACCGCCACCACAAGTTGGAGGGGGGAAGGAGGTGCAGGAGGAGGTGGAGGAGGAAGAGGACGAGGAGCAGGAGGTGGAGGAGGAGGAGGACCCCCTCCCCCTCCAACTTATGGTGGTGGTGGTGGTGGTGGAAATCAGGCCCATCAAGGCAGCCCCAGCTGGCCTCAGCATGCCCCCCGAGTAGCCCAGGGCGGTCTCGGCACCCTGGCGCCGCCTCCAGCGGCGCGCCCCGCGGCGCTCCGCGCCCCGGGGCTGCGGTGCCGAGACCGCCCCGGACGTCACGACGTCCGGGGTACCTCCTCCCTCCTTCCCTCCCTCCCTCCCTCCCTCCCTCCTCCTTCGCCAGTTCTCCTCCTCCTCCTCCTCCTCCCTCCTCCCTTCGCTCTTCTTCGTCATTTTCCTGCTCCTCCTCCTCCTCCTGCTCCTCCTCCTCCTCCTCCTGCTCCTCCTCCTCCTCCTGCTCCTCCTGCTCCTCCTTCTCCTCCTCCTCCTCCTCCTCCTCCTCATCTTCCTCCGTCTCCGCTCGCCCCTGCTCGCTCCACCTCCCGGCCGGGACTACCTACTCGGGGGGCATGCTGAGGCCAGCCAAGGGCTGCCTCGGCCGGCTTCTCGTGCCGAGTCGCCTCTGTCACGGTCCCGGCCTCGACGTCCGGTGCACGCTGGCTTTTCCCACCGGGCGCGCTCCACTGCTCGCAAGATGCCTACTCGCAAGTCTTCGAAACAGATTCGCTCGCCTCGATGAAAAATATCGTGAATCCCCGCGGCGGATCGAGGCCATCTGCGAGTAGTTACTTTCTGCGAGCAGTGGAGCGCGCCTGTCCATTTTCTTCGGTGCAGTCAGGACGCTGGGATCAGCACCGCCGAGGGCTCAGGAGGGGATCTTCTTTCGGGGCTGTTCCTCAGGCCTGGGTTGGGGATCGGGTATAGCCAGGACCCCAGGTAAGGGGACCTGGTTAGTAGTGGGGCTCCAGAGCCCCTAAATTTGCCAAAATCATTGAACCAGGTATGCCGTAGCTGGTGTTTTTTCGGCGTTGTACCTTGTGGCCGCGTTCTTCAGGCCGTGGCCAGAGCGGCACATTCGTACCTTGTTCCGCGTTCCTCAGGGGGGGGAAACACACAGACACGATTCACCGGCGACTCTCAGGAAGATGTAGAGAAAAGTGTGGGAAGTGGGGGTGGAGACGAAAAGAAGACACAGAAGGTATGGGAACATTTGGCGTGTACCTATATGTGTATTCGTGGGCCCCTTGAGTTCCTCAGGGTAGCCCCAGGACTGCACGTGGTCCCCTGGGACCCCCGACCATGGTTGTTGGGGCCAGCTTCTCATCCCGAGCTGTTGTTTGCCGGTCCCAGGGCCCCGCGATCCTCGAGGACAGAAAAGAAAGCCTTGATCCCCTGATGTCTTGTAGTGAAGACGTGGCCTCACTGAGGTCCCCTTTTTTTGCACTCGGGATCACGAATCTGGGCGGCTCGGCTTGGTAAGATGTGCAGAAAAAAAAAACCTCCTTTATCCCTACAGGGTCTGGCTTGAATTAGGAACACTTCCGTTTCAAAAGGGGCTCGGTCGTTCCTTTGGTTTGCATGCGTTCCGCTACCTTTTTGGCGGCGAGCCCCCCTGGTATTCCTTCGGACTTCTTAGACTTACTTGGAAAAAAGGGGCTTCGTTCTTTAGTTGTCGTTCCTTAGGGCAGGCCGAAAATTAGACTGTTCTGGCCCTCCAGCATGGGTCCCCTCCCGAAGGCTTCGGGGCCCTTTTGTTGCTCATCGCTCGAGGGCCCCAATCGATCGACCCCTGGCGCCGTGCCTGCGCGGCACGTCGGCCACGGCGCAGCGCCGCCGGCTGGGGGCGTGCGGCCGCCTAGGCGAAGTGCAGGCACAGCTCGGAGCCCGGCTGTTGCGAAGCACCTGCGTATACCGATGCTGGTGGGCTTGCTCTCCACCACCGCCACCACAAGCAGGGGGGAGACAGGGGTCCTCCTCCTCCTCCTCCTCCTCCTCCTCCTCCTCCTCCTCCTCCTCCTCCTCCTCCCCCTCCCCCTCCCCCTCCTCCCCCCCCCCCCACTCTACGGTGGTGGTGGTGGTGGTGGTGGAGAGCAGGCCCATCGGATGTGCCGCCGACGTCGGGCGGCGGGCGGGGCGGCGGGCCCGCAGGGCGCGGCCCGCCCTTTCCCCCCGCGGCCGCCTGTGCGTGCTGCCGCTCCTGCTCGGCGCCCCCGTCTGGCTCGGGCGCCCGCTGCCAGGGCAGCGCGGGACTCGGGTGACAGCCGGAGCTCGGGGCAGGTCGGGCACGTGCCTCTGCAGGAGGAGCATTCAGCCATAGTATGACAGAGTAGTCATGGGACGGCTGTTTGACTTTTTTTATGGCTAGTTATGTTTCGCACGTTGTTGTGAATAATTGCTACTTGTCGTCCCAAATCCGCCTGTATACATATAACGGCGCACCGGGTCCGGGGGCCCGGGGCCGGGACCTCTACCACAAATGTGCGCCCCGGGGGGCCCGGAGGCTCGTCGGGGCTTGCCGGAGGCCTCCCCAGTCAGACAAGACGGCCCAAGAAGCGCCCAAGACGGCCCAAGAAACTTCCAAGAGGCCTCCAAGAGGGCTCCGAGATGCTGAAGATGGCCTCCAGACGTCCAAGGAGGCCCCCAAGAGGCCCCAAGAAGCCTCCAACATGCGTCCCAAGAGGGCCCCTAGACGCAAAAATTGGCCCATTCCCTTCGTAAAACGTACATTTTCAACAAAGTTGTCTTTTGGGCTTTCCGACGTTACAGGACGGCCCAAGAGGCGCCCAAGACCGCCCCAAGACGGCCCAAGAAGCTTCCCAGAGGGCCCCAGGACAGCCCAAGAGGGCCCCAAGACGGCCCAAGAGGCGCCCAAGATGGCCCAAGAGGGCCCCAAGACGGGCCCAAGAGGGGGCCCAGAGGGGGACCACGAACCGCAAGCTCGAGCCTTCCGCCCCAAGAGGCCGCCAGGAGGCCCCCAGGAGGCCCCTCAAGAGGCCCCAGGAGACCCCAGACGTCCAAGGACGCCCCCAAGAGGCTCCAAGAAGCCTCCAACATGCGTCCCAAGAGGGCCCCTAGACGCAAGAATTGGCCCATTCCCTTCGTAAAACGTACATTTTTAACAAAGTCGCCTTTTGGGCTTTCCGACGTTACAGGACGGCCCAAGAGGCGCCCAAGACCGCCCCAAGACGGCCCAAGAAGTTTCCCAGAGGGCCCCAGGACAGCCCAAGAGGGCCCCAAGACGGCCCAAGAGGCGCCCAAGATGGCCCAAGAGGGCCCCAAGACGGGCCCAAGAGGGGGCCCAGAGGGGGACCACGAACCGCAAGCTCGAGCCTTCCGCCCCAAGAGGCCGCCAGGAGGCCCCCAGGAGGCCCCTCAAGAGGCCCCAGGAGACCCCAGACGTCCAAGGACGCCCCCAAGAGGCCCCAAGAAGCCTCCAACATGCGTCCCAAGAGGGCCCCTAGACGCAAAATTGGCCCATTCCCTTCGTAAAACGTACATTTTCAACAAAGTTGTCTTTTGGGTTTTCCGACGTTACAGGACGGCCCAAGAGGCGCCCAAGACCGCCCCAAGACGGCCCAAGAAGCTTCCAAGAGGGCCCCAGGACAGCCCAAGAGGGCCCCAAGACGGCCCAAGAGGCGCCCAAGATGGCCCAAGAGGGCCCCAAGACGGGCCCAAGAGGGGGCCCAGAGGGGGACCACGAACCGCAAGCTCGAGCCTTCCGCCCCAAGAGGCCGCCAGGAGGCCCCCAGGAGGCCCCTCAAGAGGCCCCAGGAGACCCCAGACGTCCAAGGACGCCCCCAAGACGCTTCGCGTCACCAATTTCTTCTCGCAACGATTCCTGGGTCTGTGACTCGACAGAACCTAAGCGCGCGCGAAGCGCGCGCGTGGTTCTAGTAGGAGGATACGCCCGAACCAAAGTTCGGGTTCGCCGACGTCTTTTGACGAGCGCGTTCCTGGATTCTGACGGTCCGGTTTTCGTGGGATGCCTGCAGCAGGAGCTCGCGTCGAATTTCAGATGGGGTCTCCTCATTTTCTTGATGTCCCCGTCGAACCCCAGTCCCCCGTACGAGAGTCTTACGCGTCTCCGACACTGGCCCCCTGAGGACTGGCTCACCCTGGCCCACGCGCCGATGCACGTCCGCGAGGACCAGGAGGTCGTGCTCGGCGCCGTGCAGCGCAGCGCTGGCGCTGCCATCGGTCTTCGTGGGACCAAGCCCGGGCTACAAGTCGGCAGATCGTTGGCGGATCGAATAATTGGGGGCGGAAAAGAGGGGGGTGATGACTGGGGGGGGGTATCATGGCGGGGGCCATGATATTTCCCCAGATTTCATGGCGCCTCTTCTTGTTTCATTACGTCCCTGGCCCCCCCCTGGGCCGCGCACATGCCGCCGGTCATGATTTGCCCCCCCCCCCCCCCCCCCCTCCCCCTCTTGACACCCCCCTCTTGCCCGCTCCCGAAATAAGAAGTCGGCCTGCTGGCAGGCACCCCACGACAGCGTATGACCCCCCATGGCCCCGGCCCGTTCTGCCGCATCGCATGCGTCCATCGCATGCCCCGAGATCTTGGCGCCGCCCGGGTCTGCCGCCCGGGCTCCAGCTCCGGGGGCCCCGGCAGGTCGATCCAGCTCGCGAGATGCCGCACAACAATTGAGGCCAGGGCTCGGGCCGCAGTGTCCCGCGACGGCGCGCCATGCGGATTCTGGCATGTGGGCCTCAGTTGGGGCTCTGTGTGGTGTGGGGGCACGATGCGTGTGAGTGCGGTGCTGATATCGGTGCAGTGCCGCCTTGCAGACCCCTTCGCCGAAGTCTTAGTTGGAGCTCCTATAGGGCCACGAAACGTGTGAGGGGTGTGCCGACATGGGGCGGCGACGCCATGGGGAAAACGAGTAAGGCGCTTTGTGCCGAAATGAGGCGGCGACGCCACGCGGACCCTGGCATGTGGGCCTTAGCTGGAGCTCCCTATTGGGCCACGAATCGTGTGAGGGTTGGGTGTGCCGAAATGAGGTGTCGACGCCATGCGGACCCTGGCAATATTGGAGGGGGCGACGGGGGGGCAGAGGCAGGGATGGGAGGGAGTGAGGGAGGGAGGGGGACGCGGGACGTTGTCTCTTGAAAACGTTGACCCAACACCACAGGATGGTTGCGAAAAGAAAACGCACGAAACCGAAACGTGCACGGGAAATGCACGCCCGAGTGAAGGCGAATTTTCCTGGCTCCTCATCGCCCCCCCCTTGCAGGCGCGGCGGGGTCCTCCCTGGAAAGGGGGCCTCAGGGCCCACCTCGGGACGCCCAAGCGGCTGGAATCTTCGCCGCCGCGGCACCTCATTGGGGGGTGCGACGCTCTGGGGGCACGTCTGGGCCTCCCCAAAAATCCTGGGGGGTTCGTCGTCCTGTCTTGAGGAGGAACATGTCTTTGGCACCGGAGGCAACTTTCCGATTCCGCAGTCGGGGAGTCGGCCCGTCGGGCAGTCGGCCCGCCAGCGTCTGCCAGAGACTGGAGAGGAGCGTCGGACAGTTCATCCCGGCGCCCCAACGAAAAAGGCCAACATGTCCCGGGGGTACAGTCGGGGCGCTGAAGAAGGAACCCTCTTCGTCTGGGAGGGGCTCGGTGTTCCTTGATTGTTTTACAGTTCGCCTTTGGTTTTCCGTAGGTCTTCGATGGGAGGTCGAAGTTCAATTAATTAGAAAAGGGTCCTCGTTCCTGATTTAGGGTTCCCTAGGTCAACGCCCCGACTGTACGTCGTCCTGAAGGTCGCTGCTCCTCCTCCTCCTCCTCCTCCTCCTCCTCCTCCTCCTCCTCCTCGTTCTCCTCATCGTTCTCCTCGTTCTCCTCCTCGTTCTCCTCCTCCTCCTCCTCCTCCTCCTCCTCCTCCTCCTCCTCCTCCTCCTCCTCCTCCTCCTCCTCGCCGCCCCCCCCCCGGCAGGCGCGGCGGGGCCCTCCCTGCGGCGGAGCCGGGCCTTCGTGCTGCAGGCCCTGGCGCAGAGCGCGGGGCGCGGCCTGCAGCACGCGGCGCCATGGGCCGCGGCCGGGCGGCCGCCGGGGGGGGGGGGCCGCTGCTGCGGTGGGCTGCGCGTCCGAGGGGCCCCTCGGCAGACCCAGACGCCCTCGAGTAAGCACAGAATCAGAGCCCCGAATCATCAGGGGCAACTCGGGTCAGGGCCAACTCGGGTTCGTTTTTCGGGATTCCGAACCCGAGTTACCCCGGACCTGAGTTACCCCGGGTAGTTCGGGCGTCCAGGGCCCCAAATCATCAGGGGATCAGGGGTAACGCGGGTCAGGGCTAACTCGGGTTCGTCTTACGGGAATCCAAACCCGAGTTACCCCGGACCCGAGTTACCCCGGATAACTCGGGCGCCCAACAGAACGCGACGGAGGTTTTTCGCCATGTTCGGCCTCAGGGGGCCCTTCCCGGGCCTCGGGGCCGTCAGAAAACGCCTCGGGATGAAAAGCCGGTGCCGGGGGCTAGGTCGAAACCTCTGGGGGCAGACGTTATGAAAAAACACATGACGTCGGGAGTCTGGGGCGTGACCTCTGGTTGCGGGCCCTGAGGCGCGAATGACTTGGGGGGGATCAGATTTTGGTGGCAGCGAGGGCGGCAGAAGAGGGTCCCTTCGGGGCCCCCCAAAGGGGCGCTTCAGGGCCCAAGAAGGGGGGCTTCGGGGCCCGAGCAGGGGACCGTTTTTTACGCCCCCCTCTGGGGTCCCCCGATCGCCGAACGCGAGGCGGCAGTGGCGTCCTCTTCCGCGCTCGTGTGTTGGCGCCCCCCCGCGGCCCCCAATCACGCCGCGCACCAGAGGTCGCTCGTACCCAGGGTCACTCTTGCGTGTAGTCGATTTGGGGCTCAAGCGACGGGGGCCGTCCAGGGCGCCGGACCTTGCAGGATCCTGCAGAGCCACGGTTGCATTGACGTGGGTTTGCATGCAGGATCTTGCAGGACGTCGCAGGATTTGTAAGATCTTGCGAAGCCCGACTGACCCGGGGTTGCATTGAACCGGGTCAGTGCTTTTCCGACCATTGGTGTAAGAGCCGCGACATGTGAGTTGTCCAGTTTTCATTCAGGCAGGTTCGACCCAGGAAACGGAACGCAAATCAAAATTGGCGTCATGCCAGGCAGAGTGCCCTGTAGTGCTCCTGGGCGTCGGGCAGGGCCCCCGCGGGTTGGTTCGGAGGCGGTCGTTTCGGTTATTCTTTGGACACGCCTCTCCAGGACACAAGTCGCGGCCTTTGCCCCGGGGCGGGGGTGGGGGTCGGCACGGACCGAACGTGTACGGCAGTTTTTCCGGCCCATCTTAAGCCAATGTTGACGTCGGAATTCTCGGTGGGAAATGAGACTTTCAACGGTCTTGCCTCCTCACCTTGCATCCGTACTATAAAGATCTTGGCAGTAGGGCACCAGAGCACATGGATCCAGCCATAGAGGATCGACCAGGAGCGTCCGACTGCGGCCCTAATGACCAACCACAGGGCACGAAAGCATCGGATACGGTAGGTTTTTTGTCGGCAGCAACGAAATGGGTACAGGGCGGAACGGATTGGTACGACGATCGAAAACCATCAATGAATACAGACATAAACATAATTTTCGGAGGTCCGCGCGGATTTCTCAGATCGGCGCTGGAGCCCAGCCCCCTGGCGGCGCCTCGGGCGCCGCCCCTGGCGCGCTCCGCTCACCAGGGAGGGGGGTCCAGCGCCGATCCTAGTAGAAAGCAGCGCGAACCTTAGAGCTTTGTTGATTATGTGATTGTTTGTTCCCCTACGGCAGGTTCGCGTCGTGTCGACCCGCAGCGACCCCACCGCTGGCGTTCAACGTTGAACGCCGCTGGCGACCCAGAATCTGTCGATGTTGGACGATCTGATATTTCGGAAACGGCCGATCGTTCCAGGTTGAACGATCCCCGCATCAAAATGTCAAGAACCAACGCCGGGGTCGACACGACACGATCCCGCGGTGCGACGGACGACAGCAGTTCCTGACAATTGTGAACAGGGCTCGCTGCCGGCGTCGCCGAGGACGTTGTCCATTCGAGGCAGAAGGCCTCCTGCCCAACAGCGGCCGCTGTCGGTTTTGGACAACATTTTGTTGTTGGGCATCGTCGGCTTGGGACAGCATTTGTTGTTGGGCATCGTACGCACTTGTTCCGTACCACTCCCGGGTGTCCATGGGGGCAGGGGGTACCCGTCGGTCCTTGAAAGTAGGTATTTCTGGATTCCCAGATCCCAATCTATTTTAGGCGCCGTCCTATTTCGGTGGTCGAGTGGCTTCCCTTCTTCCTTCCTCTTCAGGGGGCGGGCGGAAGCCCGATCTACCTTCGCCGCCTGTCTACTTCATGCTTCTACCCGCTTCTTCTGACCGACGGGTAGGGGTGGCGGCCCTCTTCCTTCCGAGGAGGAAGCTGTGCTGATACCGCCACCCTTGCCTCGCTTTCGCCGCTCTGGGCCTTGTAGGAGGCCCTCGTCGCCACGGCGCTGTTCGCCTTGAGATTCTGGCCAGGACGCACCCTGGGAGGCGGTCGGGGTGTAGCGGTGTCGGTACCTCTTTGTCTCCCCCGCCCTCTCCCCCCTCTCCCCCTTCCTCCCCCCTCCTCCCTCCTCCCCCTCCCCTCCGTCTTTCTCCCTCCTCCTCCCCCCCCTCCCTCTTCCCCTCCCGGTCGCATGGGAGTTCGTCACACGAAGGATGTGGAGGGGTCGGTTTTAGAGGTTGATTGCTGTGCGCATGGCTCCAGAGGTGTAGAGGGGGGTCGGGGGGGCCCACGGAGTGTTCAGCATCAACCAGACACACCCTCCGCAGTCAGGTCAAGGAGCGATGACCCGCGCATGTAATCACCTTGGCATCGCTCGGACGTGTGCAGTTTCCTCGGCGAGGACCACCGAGGAACGTCCTGGAACGCCGAGCCAAAAAAACACGCACGAGGCCGACAAATGCGCGGGGAAGGGACGTCCGAGCGATGGCGAGTCACGCGAGCTTACTGCCTGCCGCCAGGAGAGTCTCGGTTCTGCGGGCGGGGCGAGGACGAGGATGGATCCCCCTGACTCTGGATCCGCCCTACTTTCGGGAAATTCGTAAGTAGGGCTTGGATTTTCCGCCTTACTTTTCAAGCCCCGCTGATGCCAATTTCCGCCCTACTTTTCTGTTGCTGTTTCTGTGGATTTCCGCCCTATTTTATGCTGGGTGCAGCAATTTCCGCCCTACTTTTGCTGCTTCTTCTAGGTGGATTTCCGACGCAACTTTAAGTTGGAAAAAAAGCCAAAGTAGGGCGGATCCGGAGTCAGGGCCGTCGAATCCCAGAGATCGGTCCGGAACGCTCTCAGAGCGTTCGGGAACGCTCCGAGAAGGCCGCGGCGCCCGAGACAGCCTCGAGAGCCGCCGGATCTCGGCTAATTATTCTCGTTGTATCCTCACCGGCCTCTTGGTCCTCGTTCTGGCCTCGCCTCGGTCCTTTTGCTTCCTGACCGGGGAGGGGACTCCTCCTCCTCCTCCTCCTCCTCCTCCTCCTGGAGGGGAGGGGAGCCCCCCCCTGGGCCCTCGGGCTGGCCGGCCGGCCGCGGCACGCCGGAGCTGCAGCGGGACCCCTTGGTGAGAGCGAAGGCGGCCCAGGAGCGCCGGGGGGGGGGGGAAATGCGCGCGCGGCGAGGGCTGCCCACAGGGCTAGGCCTCCTACCCAGACCCCCTCGAGTAGTGAAAAAATCACGACTGGAGGTTTTTCGTAATTTTCAGCCTCTGGGGGCCCTTGCCGGGCCTTGGGACCGTCAAAAAACGACTCAGGATGAAAAGCCGGTCCCAGGGAAGGGGTCGAAACCTCTGGGGGTCGACGTCATGAAAAAATCATGAAGTCGGGGGTCTGGGTACTAGATGGGGTCCGAGTAGATGGGGTCGGAGGATCGCGCCCTATCGCCGATGCATCGTCGATGCATCGACGGTGCATCGGCGGTGCATCGGCGATGCGGCTCGATGTGGGGCCCGATGTTCTCCACGCCGACGTCGCCGATGCATCACCGACGTCGCCAATGCATGGCCGACGCATCGCCGATGCATCGCCGATACATCGACGATGTATCGGCGATGCGGCGTGATCCTCCGACCCCATCTACTCGGACTCCATCTGGGAGGCCTCTAATAGGGCTGTCTCGCAAGTAGTGGCGAAGCGTCCGGGCTTGCCGACAGGCCCACGAAATAATGTTCTAAGAACCTCTTTGTCAGAGGAGGAAGAGGTACTGATAACCGCCACCCTTGCCGCGTTTTCGCTCTGTTGGGCCTCATGGGAGGCCCTCGTCGCCACGGCTGGACTCGCCTCGACATTCTAGTCAGAACGCACCCGGGGAGAGGTCTGGGCACGACATGTTCTTAGAACATGTCTGGCTGAGACTGTCGTGTTCTAACACATTGGGATTCTGTTCTAAGAACACGGTTCGCGCTGTTCGAACACGCGTGGGTTCTAAGAACACGTCGTGGTAGGCCTCTAAGGAATGCCAGGACGGCCGGTCTTTGCTCAGCACAGGGCTGTCTCCGTCCCCCCCCACCGCCGTTTACGGAATAGACGCCCACTTGTAGAAGGACAGAGCGCCCCGCCTCCGCGCCCCGTCATCTCAATGCTGGCCACCGACTGCCCACTTGTGCGTGGGGTCACGGCTTCCTCGTCAACCTTGACATACGGGGGGAAGGGGGGCGAGTTTCGTTGTCTTGTCACCGATACCTGAGCAGGGCATTTATTTCGCAAACGACGGTGGCTCTTCTTTCGTGTCCGGGGGGTGCCCAATCCGAGGCGGGGGTTTATCCATGACGCCACCGCCTGCAGGATCGATCTTCGGGGGCCTCGGAGGGATAGAATCCGCCCCCGAGGGCTTGAATATATCCATATCAACCGCCTGCCGACGTCCGCAGGTATCGATCTCCTGAGGTGGTAGTCATGGGTGAATCCCCGCCTCGCACCCAAGGAGTCCCTGGCCCAGGGGCGTCCCCGGCTCTCTTGCATCATTCTGAGCCCCTGGAGCCCTCTGGGCCTCGCGGAGGGTGCGCTCTGGAGGTCATCTGGGCTTCCCCAAGGAATACTGAGGGCCCCTTGGGCCAGGGCAACTTTTCCTGCCGGCCCACGTCGCAAAAAGTTGAAGGGCCGTAGAGAAACACGACCCGAACCCTTGGCCCAACCTTTCTGCCGCACTTCTCGAGTCGGATCGATTGTGAAGGCCTTACTGCCGGTGCCGCCGACCCAGAAAGGCGACGACCACGACGACGATCACGACGACGATCACGACGACGACGACGACGACGACGACGCCGACGACGACGACGACGACGACGACGACGACGACGACGACGACGACGACGACGACGACGACGACGACGACTACGACGACCACGACACCGACCACGACGACAACGACAACGACGAACTGATGACCCTGCCACAGGCTCGGGACATGGGCGGGCGGTGGAGGGAGGAGGAGGAGGAGGAGGAGGAGGAGGAGGAGGAGGAGGAGGAGGACGAGGAGGAGGAGGAGGACGAGGAGGAGGACGAGGAGGAGGAGGAGGAGGAGGAGGAGGAGGAGGAGATGGAGGAGGAGGAGGAGGAGGAGGAGGAGGAGGTGGAGGAGGAGGAGGAGGAGGAGGAGCCAACCTTTCTGCCGCAACTCTCGAGTCGGGTCGCTCTGCGAGGGCCCCTCGGAGTCAGGTGACAAACCCTACCACCACCACCTCCACCACCACCACCTCCACCACCACCACCACCACCAGGGATACCACCTCCAGCGAGGAGGCCCACGATGCTTCCCCGAGCTGGAGGATCGGAGGATCGGGGACGTCTCGAGCGAGACCCTCCCCCATGGCGCCTCGCGATGGCGGTGCTGCTGCCGCTCTTGCTTGCGTGTCTCGAGCCCCGGGGGCCGGATCTGGGCGAGAAAGCGCCGGGCGTGGCAGCGAATTGCGGCGCCAGGGTGGGAGGGTATTTGCGGCAGGCGACGCTTCTTCGTCCTCTTCCCTCTCCCTCCACTCCTGGGCTTGCACTCTGGGGAGAGGGGCCTGTGCTGGGGGTGGCCGCAGCATCGTTCAACGATGCGCCGTGTGCCGTGTGCCGTAGTTTGTAGGGTGTGCCGCTCAACGATCTGCTTCTCACCGAAGCTGCAGGGTGGGCCCTGCCCCCCAAATCCGTGATTCGGTGCGGATCGTCAAGGCGCCTCGTCTCTGTCGTCGTCGTGGTCAGTGTGCCTGTTGCCTGCTCGTGATGTCTTTCCCTTGCGCAGTGACCATCACCATCACCTCTGCCTCAACCTCGCGGGAGCGAAAGTCCAGAGCGGAGGTCCTCCCTTCATCCCCCAGTTTGTTCTCCGCCTCATCCTCGCCATCAGCCTCGTGTGCTCTTCCCCCCCTGCCTCCTCACCCTCACCCCCCATTCCTTTCGCCCTCGCACTCAGAGCTCGGAGGGGCTCGATGTATACACCACCTCGTTTGGTCGGCCGGGGGGCCAAGGAGTTCGACGAAAGGATTCGGTGCACAGGCGCGCCAGCGTCTCACAGGTTGGGCAGCTGGGGCACCTCTCCATCAAGGCCCTCCCAAGATCCATCCCTCTGCTCGTGGGTGCATATCCGCCTCTTCACCAAGGGAATTGCACGTCGCCATGACCGCCGCCGCGACACGCTCCGCCAGAGTTCCCGACCCCATCCGCCGGCCAGGGCTGCCTACGATCCGACTCGACGCGGTTCGATTCGCTGGCCGGGGCCGCGAGTCCAATTCGATGCCATCGGGCTCCATTCACCGGCCGCGGCCAGGGCCAGCAGGCAGCGGGGCGCGGCGATCCGATGCCGATGCGATCCGGGACGATTCGCCGGCGATCCGAGCCGCTCTCGACCGGAGCCGGTCTCGCGATCCGATCCAGCGCAGATCTGCGGGCCGCCTCGCTGAGCGCCGTGCCTTCCAGGGCACAGCGTTAGGTCGGGCATGTCCCCCTACCGGCGGATTTTGGAGGACAAACAAAGGAAGAGCCAAACAGAGATTCGAGCAACCAGGTAACAAACAGGCACAGAAGCGTCCCCAGACTGTGTGTTTGGACTGTTTGTGAAGATTCCTCCTGCAGAGGGACACGTCCGACTGAAAGCACAGCAGCCGAGCCCCTCTCAGAGGAGGCCCGCTGGCGCGCGGCCTCGGCCGCGCCGAGCCGCTGAGGCCGCTGCGGCCGAGGGGCGCCGAGCCGGATGCCGCCGCGGCCGCAGGGCGGGGCGCCGAGGCGTATGGTGTCCCAAGCTGCTTCCGGGGGTGGACAGAGCCCCCAATAGTGACACGTCGATTAGTGAATTGTCCGTTTTCGGTTTTCGGGAGGGCGCCGTGGCCGTCATTTTCCAGGCTTGCGCGCGCCAGGGTTGGGCCTCAGGTCGTTTTCACTAGACCAGGTTTTGCTAAAGGGGGGTCTGTCCATCCCCGATACTTTGGCCGTGCTCACCAGAAAGAATGTCGTGCGCCAGGAAAGCACCGAGACCAGAGGGAGTTTTCCCGTGTCGGGCCCTGGGAGGTATTCGTTCGGCACCGTCTCGGCACTTTCCCTGGTGCTCGAGATTGTTTCTGGGATGTGCTCCTGAAGTGCGATGGGAACAACATAAGCCGAGGTTCTCTCTCTCTCTCTCTCTCCCTCTCTTCTGTGAGGCGGGTGGGCCCCTTCGCGGCTGCGCGCAGCCCAGCTCCAGGGTCAGGTCGGGCATGTCTCTCTGCAGGAGGAGTATTCAAAAACAGTTTAAAACATCTATGTTTGGTTTGTTGTTTGGCTGTTCTTCATTTTTCGTCCAGAATCCGCCTGTGGGAGGACATGCCCGACCTAGATCCAGGGCTCGATTCGATTCGCCTCGATTCGATTCGATGTTCGCTGGCTTCCGATCCCCAATCGTTTATTTTGACCTGGGATGCCGATGCGGGCTTCGATTTCTTCACTGAGGCCTACTAGCCCGCCGATTTCTGCCGACTCGACTTCTCCCGACTCTGCTGCAGATGTTCGCCGCTCAGATTCACTTCGATTGCCGATCCGACTTATCGATTCGATTTTGGGCTCCCCTGCCAGATCTCCGACGTCACGGTGTTCAGTCCTGGCGTATTTTCTCGGCGTCGGCCTCGACAGTCGTACCGAGGTATCATATCGAGGTTGGTTCGGGGCGGGTATCTTGGTGTTTTTCGTGTCTGTGGGATGCTCTTGTGCCTCTTGGGGAGGGTGCCCGAGTATGCTCTGTGTTGTGGCCAGCGGAGGGTCTCCTGTCCCAGACCCCCGACGTCATGATTTGTTGCATGACGTCGACCCCCAGAGGTTTCGACCTATTCCCCGGGACTGGCTTTTCATCCCGAGTCGCTTTTCGACGGCCCTGAGGCCCGGCAAGGGCCCCAAGAGGCCGAAAATGGCGAAACATCGACCGTCGTGATTTTTTGATTGCTCGAGGGGGTCTGGGGGCCCAGGTCCGACTGTGGTAGGGCCCGTGGTCCGGCCCCAAGGCCACCCACGAGGGATCTGGGGCACAGAGCTACCCCCGGAGAGTGCTCCGGGTCGCCACCGCCTCGGCCAGAGCCCCGAGCAGGAGGAGAGAGGAGGAAGAGGAGGAGGAGGAGGAGGAGGAGGCGGAGGAGGAGGAGGAGGAGGCGGAGGAGGAGGCGGAAGAGGAGAGGAGGGGAAGGGGGAAGGGGGAGGGGGAGGGGGAGGGGGAGGTGGAGGATAGGAGGAGGAGGAGAGGAGGAGGAGGAGGAGGAGGAGGAGAAGGAGAGGAGGAGGAGGGGGAGGAGGAGGAGGAGGAGGAGGAGAGGGAGGAGGAGAGGAGGAAGAGGAGGAGGAGGAGGAGAGGAGGGAGAGGAGGAGGAGGGATGAGAAGTTTGAGGAGGAGGGAGGAGGAGGAGGAGGAGGAGGAGCAGGACGACGACGAGGACGAGCAGAAGGGAGGGAGGAGAGGAGGAGGAGGAGGAGGAGGAGGAGGAGAAGGAGGAGGAGGAGGAGGACACGGCTTTGGCTGCCCCGTTCGTTTGGGCGCGAACAGCGCGCCGCGGACGGGCGCGAGGCCCGACAGAAATAGGTATTCGGCGGCGCCCGCCTGGTCCATGCGCCTCTCCGTCGGGAAGCGCTCCTCCTCCTCCTCCTCCTCCCCCTCCTCCTCCTCTTCCTCCTCCTCCTCCTCCTCCAGTTTTCGGCTCGCGAGGAGCTGCCTCCCCCTTGGGCGCCTGCGGGGCAGGCGAGGGGATAGGCTCCTGGCGCGCGCCGAGACCAGCGCTCGCGACGGCGGCTCCGCGGGAGGCTGCCGCCCATCATCGAGCGCGACTACAACGCAGGGAGGACAGGTTCCTCCTCCACGCCTGGTCGGGGCGCACGACCCCTGCGCTGGTAGCCAGGCTGCGCGGCGCGGCCCAGCGGTTGGACGCCCATCACGGCTCCTCTGCAGGGGCGATGGCGCCTGCACCGCCGCAGGCGAGAGTGCTGCGTGGCCCCCGCGAGCCTGTCTGGGGATGCCAGTGTGGGAAGGACAACAACTGGGCCTGCCGCATCGTGTGCTCCTGCGGGCGGCAGGCTTCTCAGAAGGTCATCAACGCTGCCAAGAAGGCGGACCAGGAGGCGCGGAACAAGAAGCCCTCGCAGAGAGCAGGAGGCACAGGGCTCGTGCGGAAGCCTGCCCCGTGGTCCAAGGAGAGCGGCCTCACGGAGAAGAAGATCCGCGAGCTGGTGCAGCAGTGCATCTCCCAGCACGCAGGCAGCACCAAGGGGCCCCCATCGCCTACGGCACCAGCGTCATCAGGAGCGGGCGCCGGTTGCAAGGAGCAGGCGCAGCACGTGCAGGGCAACATCCAGCAGCGCACGGAGCTCCAGGCGAAGATCAACTTCCACGAGAAGAGCCTCAAGGAGTGCAAGATCGTGGAGGAAGAGGGCGGCCCAATTCACCTCCTGCACCAGCGGGCCCTCGACGTCCTTCGGCAGCAGGCGCGTGAATTGCGCCCCCCAGGCGCTGCTTACAAGGCCTCGTCCCAGAAGCTCGCGCGGTGCATGCAGCAGCTGGACCGCTTCACGAGCGACCTGCAGGGCCTGGAGGCGCAGCTGGAGGCTACCCAGCGCAAGATCCAGGATAAGCAGGAGGCCATTGCGGCTAAACAGGCTGAGGTGGAGGTCCTGCGCAAGGAGAATGCGAAGCACGAGCAAACCATGCAGGCTGCACGTGGTGAGAAGCCCCAACCAGTCATCAAGGAGGAAGACTTGGTTGGCTTCGACCTCGCCGAGCAGCTCGACGACGATGGCGCGAAGGAGGCCCTCGAGCAGTTCAAGGCGAGCCCCCACTTCGGCAAGATCCAGGCGGCCCTCCGCAAGCAGGCGGCGGAGAAGCTGGCTACGGTCATGGCTGAGGAACCTGGTGTTCATGCTCCTCATGCTGAGGGTGGTGGCGCAGGCGCAGCAGACGGACCGCCAGCTCGGGATGACGATGACATGGGCGACGAAGACGCCGACGGCGACGCACAGCCTCGAGGAGGCGATAAGCGCGGAGCCGCCTGGGTGGAGCTGGCCAAGGATGACGTCGGCGCCCTCTGGCAGCAGCTCCTCAGCAGCGGACAGCAGCCTACTGACTGGACCAAGGAGAAGCTGCACGACGCCTTCACGCAGGTCCAGCACAGCAAGCACCGCAGGACTGCTGAAGGCTCCCTGGGCACAGGCACGATGCCTGGGTAACCCGCCCCTGGTCAGCGGGCTACTGGCTGCCAGCGCTGGCGCCATGCAGCTACACGTACCAGCAGCGGTCACCATCACGCACACCTTCGAGACCTTCAACGCCAACCAGGGAAAGCTAACCCTCCAGAAGCGGCTGAGAAGGTCAACAGCAATGGTCATCATGGCTCAGGAGATAGGCTACGGCATCGATGACTGCGAGAGCCTCTCTTCTTGGGCAACGGCGCGCGGCTGGCAAAGCCTCATCGTGCCAGGGCTGCCCTCACGAGGGTACCTCCCCTCCGCAGGCCTGGCAGTCTTCGCCAGGGAGGGGATCGGGCTGCGCGGGCCCACTTACCCTGGCGAGGCCCCGCCCAGACGTGCAGGCAGCGTCAGCGAGACCATTGCGCACGGCACCGAGCTCGTCCGTGGCAGGGCTCAACACGTCGTCGTGGAGCTGCCGAACTGGCCGCCGCTAAACGTCGTCAACGTCTACCTCCACACAGGGGAGGGCATGGGCAGCCGCAACGCAAGTATACTAATGACGGTGGGGCTCGCGCTCGCGGGCCAGGCGCACCCTGGAATCATCGGCGGTGACTGGAACATGGACGCGCAGGTTGTCAATAACTCCGGCTTCCCCGTGCACGCGCAGCTGGAAATGGTCACCCCGAGGCACGCGACCTGCAGGACAGCGGCGTCGGTGTCAACCATCGACTACTTCGGGCTGACCACGGGAGCCATGCGCATGCTAGCTGCATGCAACGCAGACTTGACCTGGTCGGTAAAGCCGCATCGACCAGTTCAGCTTCAAATGACAGCGGAGGGCACCAAGCTCAGGTACCTCACCTACGTAGGCGGTGCGAAGATACCAGCGCAGGTTGTGCACGGACCTTTCCTCGAGGAGAGCAGCTGGCCCCTGGAGCGCAGCTTCGCTGAGCAGGCGCTGAGCATGGCCAAGGAGGCGCCTGCTGCGGTCGCCTGGCGGTTCCTCTCGAAGGCTTGGGGCAGATGGGCGACCGGGGCGGCCTCGAGGCTCGGGCACCTCACTGGTACGGAGACGCGGGCCAGCGCCTACGCGCGTCCGCTCCAAGCCAAGTGGGTCGAGCGTGAGCACCAGGTCCTCACGGAGGATGAGGTGCAGGCGGTCGCGGATGGATGGAAGTGGCTGCAGGACTGCCTGGCGGGCCTCATCACCGCAATGGCGAACGCCAGGACACCCGAGGGCCGACAGGTTCTCGACAACGAGCTGCAAGGCTTCCTCAGTGTAGACTACTGTGGGCAGAACCTCAGCGCGAGGCTCGACGCATCAGTTCGGCATGCTCGGCAGATTGCGCAGAGGAGTTGCAGCAGTGAGGACATCATGACCTTCTCGGAGGAGATCGACGAGGATGTTAACTTTGCCATGCAGCTGGCGAACAAGGAATCTTCGAGGCGCTGGAGAGAATGGTGTGACGGGGCCTGTGCGGGCGGAGCGGGGAAGCTCCACAAGGTCACTCGCGTGCGAGCAGTTCAGGC